AACTGCGGGCGTGGAGAGGAACCACAGCCGCGTCAACCCAGGTAGAAGGCAAATAAAATAAAAATGAATGTGTGTGTTATAATGAAAACAAAAGAAGTGGAGAAGATGATCATCACAACAAAAAAAACGACAACAAACGGCTAAGAGTATTCAAGGTGTGATCGTTATACAATATGAAATCTTCTTCATTGGGATTATTTGATTGTGATCGTTAATATATATATATATATATATATCTTTTCTCTTTGCGCGCAGCGGGGAGGCCAGATAACCAGTAGCTTTTTTGGGGACGTAATCTATGCCTCCATCGCCTCACTCGCCGTGCTTCCTTTACCTGCTGGGTACGACGTGTTTGAGTGGGAAATGTCATTTGAACAATTTGTACTTGTGGTTTAGTAGCATCTAAGATGTGTATAAATTTTTTTTTGTCTCAATTTCGTTCAGCAGTGTTTTTCCTTTTGCTTATACTACGATGCTTCTCTGTGCGAATTGGTAGCCTTTCTTTTTCTTTTTTTTTCTTTTTACGTCTTGCCTTCTCGCTGGTATTTGTTGCGCAAGGATGGAGGAAGCGTGCCACTCACAGCTTTGACAGACACAATCCCTTTGTGTTTTCTTCCCCATCCTTCCCACTTTATTTATGTTTTTTTTTTTTTTGTCTGCCATCACCTTTCCGGCGGCGCGCTCGAAATAACAACAATAAAAAATTGTGGCAGGAGGACGTCTTTGTGCCTATGAGGTACTTCATGGAGCAACATCATGGGAAGAAGGTGACGTGTGCGGATGCGGAAGAAGGCTGCGGGAAGAAAGTGACAGCGCGTCATGGGCTTTGCACACGCATGCGTGCTTGGGTGAATCGGCGCATGTGTATGTATCTGCACATGTGCATGTGGAGTGTTTCCGTAAGTTTGTTGTCGTTTTTTGTTTGATGAATTGTTGCTTGTGCACGGAGAGGAGCACAAAGTAAACATATCATTATAAAACTGACGTGAATGTTTATTTTTTTGTTCTGGTGATCTATGCGCCAGCCGCCTGCACGCCTCTGACCCTCTTCATTTTCCTTTATTCATTTATTTATTTCTTGTTGCAACGGCGCGGTGCGGGAAATACCGATGAAGTGAGGGAGGGCCGCGCGGCGCTTTTGCAGTAAAGCCGGCCGAAAGACAATCCACAATTTGGGAGGGAGGCAGCGAGCACAATCCACAGCCCCCGCCACCGCCGCTTTATTGCGCACATTGAAAAGAGGGGCGGAAGTCTTTTGTGGCTGTTGTGGTCAGCAGTGGCCGCGTCGTTTGCCGCGCGGATAAAGAATGACGCCGCACTCATCGCCTAGCGGAACGAGCAGAAAGAGCACCACTGAGGCCCCTGCTCAGGGCTCTGCGTGGACTAGCAATGCCGCTAATGAGGAGATGAGGATCCAAATTGCATGGACACGCATGACTCCAGAGATGTGTAAGGAAATCTGCCGCACTATCGTGAACAGCGGGGTGGAGGTCCCTCTGCGCGTCGTCGACCTTATCGACAACCAACTGGGCCCGGAGCAAACACAAAAAATTGCGTCTGTGCTGGAGTCCTCCACGGTGCGGGATGTGCTACTGCGGTACAATGACATTGGCAAGGAGGGCTGCGATGCCTTGGCGAACTTTGTGAACGTCTCTACGAAGCTGCAGCTGCTTGACATTCGCGGGAATGCCCTCACAGCTGGGTGTGTTCGCAAGCTGCTCAAGTCGATTTCCATGTCCACCCCCCTGACTCGACTGGGGTTGAGCGCAAACAAGATTGGGCAGGAGGGTGCTGTCTTGCTGCTTCGTGCACTTGAAAAGAATGCATACCTGACATCGCTTGATATCTCCCTTAACGAAATTGGCCCGAGTGGTGCCCAAAGCATCGCACAGCTCCTCGTACTCCCCGCTTCCCCGTTGAAGACTCTACAGCTGTACGGGAACCATCTCGGCTGCTCCGGCGTGGTAGCAATCGCAACGGCTGTTAAGAAAAACAAGTTTTTGAAGGACTTAACGCTTGGCAACAACAACGCCACGGATGCATCCACCGAGGCGCTTGCCGAAATGTTGCGGGAAAATTCCACGCTTGAATCGTTGGATCTGCGCTCCAACACACTGACGGCGGCGGGTGTGCGTAATCTGGCGCGTGATGGGTTGGCGCATAACACGTTTCTAGTGGCCCTCTCTCTCTCGGATAACCCGATAGGGAGCGTCGGCGGGGACGAGATTGCCAAGACGCTCATTATGCACCAGGGCAGCGCCTTGGCTACGCTCGACCTTAGTTCCTGCGATCTCGGCTCCACGGGTGGGATGCGCATTGCCAGTCTCATTGCCGCTACCATCACGCTCAATGAGGTCAACTTGAGCGATAACAAACTCGACAACGAGGCGGCGGTTGTGCTTGCGAGAAGCATTGTGAACAGCATCTCTATCTCTATAGTTGACTTGTCCGCAAACGAGATTGGCGAGTGGGGTGCAAGCAACCTGATTGACGCTACACAGCTTAACTCCCGTATATCTTCCTTGATACTGCATGGGAATCATATTAACCGTGTTGTTCAAAAGAAGATCGATACATTGCTGGGCGATCGCATCTCTAGAAACCGCGTGCAGGAGCAACAGGCCTCTCTCCTTCACCCACGATAGTTGATGGAGTAGGTTTTAGTGGAACTGTTTTATTCTTACTTGTGGAGATTGCATGGCTACACCAATGAAGAGGAAAGAGGATGTAGATAGGCGTCAGTTTTACAAGCATTTGGAAGAGTAGTGAGGCAAGAGCATATGTATATCTCTCCCACTTCCTTACCTTCTCCTTACAATGACTGTTCACTAGGAATAGGAATATGGAGTAGCTAAGTGAAGCGTGCTCTTCTTTATCACCTACGATCTTATATATCTCATTTATTGATCCTGCCTTCTTGATGGTCAACAGTTTTGTTGGACTTTGTTCTTCCCATGCGGCGCATGCGTTTCGTTTTCCCTTGCTTCTCCAAAACCTCTACAGGATTGTCTTTTCTCTTCGCATTTGCATGGATCCAAAGGTGAGGAATGAAGGAGAAACAGTTTAACACGATGCCGCGTTTAAGGAATCAGTCACGTGGCCGCCGCGCCACCTTGCAGGCGGCGACACCAGGGATCATAGTGGCAAATACGGCAACATCCTTTTCAGCCTCTGTTTCCAAAGCCAAAAGTAGACGTGCGAAAATTAAGGGGGCAAATACAAATAAGAGGGTGCCTGTGGTGTTTGTGCAAGACTATAAACCACCAGACAAACCTCCTATGCTCATGCAATCGCACCAAGATTCTTTGGCTTGTAGCGAAAACCTTCCTCTTGAATTGTACTTGCGGGCCATTTTGAGAGTTTTTTCTCCAACTTCCAATGACCAGGAATACGCGCGACAGGTGTTGCGTGACATGAATCGCGCTCTTTCTGGTCTGGACATGCATGCCCTCGTATTTGGAAGTTGGTGTACTGGTATTTCTACTCCGAGCAGTGACATGGATTTCGTTGCAATACAACAAGGCTCCAGAATGCCACCGGGTAGTGGGTCCAGTGCTTTCCATAACAATGGGAGCGGGAAGTATAGCACAAGCTCAGTGCTTGAACGCGCCCTCTTCGACCCCGTTACTGCCTCTACTATGTCGAGAAAGGAGCGTCACAAGCGTTTCTCAGGGGCACTGCGTCTTGTTGGCAGTAATTTGCGTTTCTCTATGGTTTTTCGCAGCATTCAGCTCATTCCTAATGCCAAAGTCCCTGTTGTGAAGGCGCTTCATCGGGGTGGAAAGAGCGTGGATGTTTCTTTCCTACGTGATGGATTGATGTCCTCTCAGTTCCTTTGCGAAGAGTTCAAAAAACCACAGTTTTTGCTTGCGCGCGGCATTATCATTTTGGTAAAGGCCCTCGTGGCAAACTGGATGCTTGACGACCCGAGTGTTGGCGGCCTTGGCTCATTTCCCATATCTATTATGGTTTTGTGGTTTCTCCACGAGGAGGTGGCGCAGCGCTACCCACCGGAAGTCCGCAAGAGCTACGCCGTGTGTCTTGTGGGGTTCCTCAAGTACTATGGTCTGCTGTTTGACTACAAGCACACGGGCATTGACTACGCCAACAAGCGAACCTTTGTGAAGACGCCAGTACCAGAGCTGTACATCCTGAACCCGTTGAATCCAAGCGCCAACTGCGCCGCGGCAGCAACACTTTTTGTTTCTCGCCTTGTAAAGAAATTTGGTGACACGTACACACTTTTTTCGAGGCTTTTAGAAGACACTACTGATGCCGCCAGCTTGGACAAGGCAGTGTTGGAAGCATTTGACCGCCCACTTCGGCTTAGTGGGGCCCAAGGTGTACAACGGCTGCAGCGAGAGAAGCAGCGGCAGCTGCCCGAGTCGGAGACAGGGTATCAGCATCGCTGGGAAGCGGATACCTCGCTTTACATTGGTGATCCGCTTGGAAACTGACGAGACACGATCGGGAGCGCGGAACAAAAAATGAAACAAGAAGAAACATCAACCATTAACACGTCTTCTCGCTCTTTCCTTGATGGAAAACGATGTGCAGCGATAACGAGAAAAGCACGGAGCGTGAGGAGGATTCCGTACGTGTGTTCAACCTCTCAGGTGTGCGGGGAGCGGAAGGGTAGTAGCGCCTGGACGTGCACGTTGATGCATATACACTCTCTTTGTTTGTTTGTCTTTTTGTGTGAGTGCGTGTTCTACAGCGCTAAGGGAGAGTAGTTTGTCTTTACGTTTTTTTTTTTTCCCTCCCACCATTAGGAAACAACAGTAAGCAGCAGGAATAATGGTGATAACTGGAAAATAAAGGGATCAATGCCACATTGTCGTTTATTTTCTATAAACGTTTTTCTTTTTTTGCGCGACTTTGATGTCGTACTTGGCGGTGTGTTCTGCTCATACTTTTTTTTTTGCCACCCACAGTTGGTGTTGTTGTTTGTTAATGTTTGCTCTTGGCTGCGTTGTTTATTTGCGTCTTTTTATTTCTCTTTGTGTATGTATGCGTGTATGTGTGTGTGATGTGTAGCGGCGTGATGTTCGGAGAGCTGGTGTGCGGCCCTCCGGGTAGCGGCAAGACGACATACTGTGAGGGGAAGCGGCAGTTTTTGAGCGTGTACGACCCAACTCGACCCGTCGTTCTGCTCAATCTGGATCCCGCCAATGAGGACGTGTTCCCATACCCATGCGATGTCGACGTGCGGGAACTTGTCTCACATGCGCGTGTCATGGAGGAGGAAGGCTTGGGCCCAAATGGCTGCTACGTGTTTTGTGCAACCGTGATGGAGCGCAACATGGACTGGATCTGTCGCAAAATTGAGGAGGCGGTGGAGCGGCGACTGCACGATATTGCCTCGACGGTGACCAGCCACGCAGCATCAGGCGGGCTGTCTTCGACGCGTGCGCCGTATCTAGTGGTGGACTGCCCCGGGCAGGTGGAGTTTTACGTGGGGTCGTCTGTCATGCATACACTCTTCAGAATGCTGGCGAAGCAATTGTCGTGCTCCCTGTGCACAGTTCACCTTGTCGATGCCGCTGTTTCTACGCGTGACGTGGCAACGTACGTGTCAAGCTGCTTGCTGAGTATCACAACAATGATTGATCACGAGCTCCCGCACGTGAATGTGATGAGTAAGTGGGACATGCTCTCCGTGGAAGAGGCGGAGGAGGGGGAGACGTTTCTGCGCGCTTCGCACTTCATGGCGGAGGATTTTGATCGTTTATGGAAGCAGCAGTTGCGAAGACGACGACGGGAGCACCGCCGGGCGCAGATGTACCCCACAGCCTCGACGGCCAAGTCTTGCGTTGATCCGAAACGGAGTGAAAGGGACGACGCGGAGGTGGAGGCGATTGACCTGCAGAGGGATGGTGGTCGTCTGTACCACTATAGCAAGACAGTCATGGATGTGGTGGACGGGTACGGCCTGGTGGGGTTTCAGCCCCTGGACGTGCAGTCGCAGGATATGATGCTGCGACTCACACAGCAGATTGATGAGGCTCTCGGTAATTTTGTGTGAGCGTGTGAGGGGGGAGTCCAAGGAAAGAACAAAGAGGAAGAATAGCAAAAAAAAGAAGGAAAAGTTTGGCTCTGATCTTTTGCGTGTTGTTGTTCTTCTTAGTCATCCATCTGCGCTTCTCTCTTCTTCTCCTTTTCTCGTTGTGCAACAAGTTCTAGTGGGGATGGACGTCTTGTTAGGGATTCTTCGTACATCCACCGACAATGAGGAGCGTCGGAAGGCGGCGTTGCAGCTGCGTCAGGTGCAGGAAGACACACCAGCGGACTTTCTCCGCATTACGTGGGAGGGCATCGCTTCCCCTGCGTTAGCACCTGAAGAACGCTTTTTCCTTGCCTCAACGATGCTGGAGTTTGTTGAGCAATCGTGGCGCAACGCTCTCCCCAAAGATGTGCAGCTGGACCTCATTGACCGCTACGCGCAGCTTTTACTAAGCGAACCCCTGCCTTCGTTGTCCTTAGCTCGGAAAGTGGCAACAGTGCTTTGCATCATGGTCATGCGCTCCGGGGCAAAAGCCATGCCAGGCGCATTACCAGCGCCAACCGATCGTGTAGCGAGGTTGTTGTGTGATGCCTGTGTGCGGGCCGCGTCGGGTGCGACAGTTACCTCGATGGGCTTTCTCACACAGTGTCTCTTAACTTTGCATATTTTTCTCAAGGAGGCGCAGCGAAAGCGCCTTAACAACATGTTTGGAAAGCTGTGTACTCTGCTTGTCCCTGCCATGTCCAACCTTTTTGCGTCCAGCGCGTCGTGGGATCACGTTGAGTTCTATCTGCCTCTACTGTACCTCATGAAAGGTGCTCTGCGAGTCTTTGGTGTCGGCGTGTTTGAGCCAAGCTTTTATCCGTATCTGCTGACTATAACGTGGAACCTCACACGTGGCGTGATTGCATCAGGGCAGCAGCAAAATCATCATCAACTGCTGCTGTGCCGCCAGCGATTGCTGGAGTACGCCCTGAAGGTGCAGCTGAAGGCGGTGGGCACATTCCCTGCACGATTGAGCGAACTTTCGCCAGAATTCTTTTTGGCGCGTGGAGGTACTCTGGAGGGTACTGCCTCTCTCTTCCGTCTTCTTGTCTCCGTTATTGAAACCCCGCTTGGGTTCGTTGCATCGAAAAAGATGCTGTTTCGATCGATGGCTCTCTTCACCGCCTTGATGATGGAGGAGGACTCTGTGGAGTTCACAAAGGGACAGCTAATAGCATTCGCGGATTCCCCGCTCTTGCATTGTCTTATGGAGCATGTGACGATGCTGCTTGCGGATGACGTGCGTGCATCAATGCTACAGGAGTGGGAAACTGAACCGGAGCGGTTTGTCTTGGAATTCGATACTCCTGTCGTGGACGATGATGAAAGTGTGACCGGCGCTGCGGAAGAGTTGCTGCTTGCCTTGACAGGCTCAACGAACTGTGCTGCACGTAGTCTTGCGGTGGAGTGGCAGATTGTTAATGCCTTTCTGGCCAGCGACGATCTCGCCCGCGTTACGGCTGCATTACATGCGATTGGGATTTGCTACCACACCATGTCTGTTGGTCAGGACCCGACGGGTTATCTTGCCTTTCTGACGGGAAAACTCCTTCCACTCATTTGCGGTGCCGACGCCGCGCCCACTTCGTCCTTCGTGCTACGACGCGTTGTTTGGATGACAGGTATGTGGTGCGATTCCGTGCAGGATACATCTGTGCGCCGCGAGGTTCATGCCGCGTTTGGGTCCTTGTTGGTTTCCTCGACCTCCACCGTGGTGTTGCTGACGCTGCTGCGCTCCATTGGCAATTTCATCACTGACGCCAACTTTAGTCGTGAGGAGCTCACACCTGACTACGTACAAAACGTGCTACTGACGATTCAACGCCTTCTGCCGCAACTGCGTACTCCGTCTAGTGTGCGGGTGCTAGCAGAACTTATGTGTGGTTTGGTTTCATGTGGAGTGCTGAACGCTGGCAATGGTGAGAGACTGCTGGATGTGGTGCTTCCTGCTGTGTATCGATTTATAGGCGAAGCCGACGCCACAGTGAAGGCAAATGAACATGACGACGACTCAGAATTAGACGCGGGCTCCTTGGGGGTCTTGCTGCAATGCACCGCTGCATGCACACAACTCTCCTCCCCAGAGATGGAATACCAGGTGTGGTCTTTGTTTCCCAATGTGGTTCTCCCTTGCACCATGCCTGAGGGCAAGTTAACACTTTGGGTGGAAGATAACGCCTGGGAGATGCTCTTGGAGATGTCGCATAATGTTCATGCATGGAGTTCGGTCACGCGTGATGCCCTTGCATGGTGCCTCCAGAACATGAAGCGTGAAGCAGCGGTGCTGTCGCTGGTGGTGCGATGTGCGTACTGTCTCCTGCTGCTCTGCCCACATCCTGTGGAGCTCGTTGACGCCGAGATGGTGGATCGTGCGCTGGAGCTCTTGACACAATCTCAGTGTACTGAACTCCTCACGGCTTCTTTCGCGATGCTGGGAGTGATGGCGCGACGAGGCAACCTGGCACTGCGGTGTCACCTGCTGGATTTTGCGGTCCAGAGGCTGCTTTCCACAGAGTCTGTGCAGGCAGAGTTTTACGGCGTTCAACTGACGCTCCTGCTTGTGTGGTGCTTGCCGCCGTACGGAGAGAGTGCCGGTCTGGACTTTTTGCTGCAGGCCATTGGGCGTCACCCCAACGCAACGTCTTTTGTTGAGCGTCTCGTCTTGCTGTTGGACGTTTCACCATGTATGTTGGCAACAGAGCAGCTGAAGGGACTGCTGCATCTGCTACTGACAGAACGACCTCAACCACTTATGGACGCCCGGGACGTGGCGATGGTGCAACGCGCTTTAGAGGTGGCATCAACACAGGTGCAACAGGATAATTGGGACGATCACATGTTGGAGACACAGCGTGACCCGGCAGACATGCTTCTGGAGTTGTTTGGAGATCAAGGTGTGGCGAACGGCTCACCGCACATACTGCGACTGTTCACTCTCTTTGGAATACATGGGAACTCCTCAATGCCCGCTCCATCTTGAACCTTTTTTTTGTTACTTGTTTTTCATTTTTGTGCCTTGTTCTGAGTCTGTGTCTATGTTTACAGCAGCAGTGCTCGTGCAGTTTCTGAAGGTGGTGGGAGGGGGGCGCTGTGTAATTGTCGTTAGGAATAAACGAAGGGTAGACACACAAACAAAGCGCAAAGAAGATTGAGGGGGTGACGGTGGGCTTCCACGTTGGTTCCTGCTGGTACGCTCTTACTGTTGGCTCTCTGTCTGTGTCTGCCGTTCTATAATTCTTCTTTTTCTATATACACACATTCAATCAATTCATACCTTTCCCCGTGGATGAACCGTGATGGATGCATGCTGGTGATTGCGGTGTTTCGGTGTAAATTGTATTTGCGAGCCTCTTAAATTTCCTCTTTTTTGTTGTTGTTTTTTTCTGTGGGTGGGGGTGGGATGACGTTCTTGTGACTGTGGTGGGCCTTAATGGACCAACCTGGCGCCTGTGTTACACACAGGCCTCCCTACACTCTGCTGCACCACAGGTGACGTGCACAGGCTAAAGAGGTTGGGGTAAAGCTGTAAAAGTACTTCTGCGTATATATATACATATATATATCGGTGTGCCGCAGCCATTATAAATTTGGTTGCTCTTATCCAGTGGCTACGCTGAACAGGGGTAGAGAGGTGGGGGGCGTGCAGCACACAAAGGTGGGAGGAAGGAAATTCAAAGAGAGAAAAGCTACGAAGACACAAGGGAACTCTGCCGGCAACATGGCGGAGACAGTGGAACCCCAGCCCACCAATTTGATGAGCGCACAAAAGACGGCAGCCGCCACCCCTATCGATGGTCTCACCTTCGTGGACGAAGCCAAACTGCACTCTGATTTTCGTCGGCTGAGGGGCAATCAGTTGTACTACGTGAGTCACTGCCTGTTCTACGAAAAGAACGGTGAACGGGGTGAGAGCTGCATCTTTGCCCTCACTCCCAATGCTTTTTTTGTGTTGGACCACCACGGTGTGATGGAGCGGGCCAGCCCCTACGAGGTCGTTACAGAGATGTACCAGAAGAAAACGAAGGACAAGAAGGGGGTGCTGTTCAATTCGGCTGAACATCACCTGCTCCTGAAGATCCCAAGCGAGATTGATTGCCACGTCAGCTTTGGCAACGAAGCCGCCTTTCAGAAGTGTGTGCACGTGCTTGTGACACTGCTGCAGGCGCATCGTGGGACGGTCGTCAAAGTGAGGGACGTCCCAGCCAACATGGAAATTGAACTATTCTGCAGCGAGGTGCGACCGGAGGGGTATCACACCCCGCGGGAAGTGGTTGAAATCGATTGCCAACGGTCCCACTTTGAGACCTTCATCCGCAAGGGAAAGGTACATGTGAGGGAGCTGTTATCACAGTTGGATGCAATCAAGGCACAAATAGCATCCCGCGAAGAGGAGTTGGAAAATCTCAAACATAAAGGCATTGACGAGACGCTTCTTCGGGCGCGCAAGGCAGAGTTGGGGGCGCAGCAGGTGCAGCTGCATGGGCAGATGTCGCAGAAGCACGATACGTGCGAAGGCGTGCTTGACACCGTCAAGGCACTGCAGGAGAGGCTGGCAGCTGCGCGGGAAAACATGGAAGGATTGGTGGAGAAGAGTCTGGCGGAGAGAATAGCGGAGATAGACAAAAAACATGAGGAAGCCACCGCGCTTCGGCGTGATGCTTATCAGAAGGAGAAAAACGCCATGTTAGGGAACATTGCTGCACACAAGAACGAACTGCGCGCCGCATGGGCGAGTGTGACGGATGCTAGAGGGCGGGAACTGGTGTCACAGGTTGGAGCGTCTATTGTGGCGTTGGAGCGGGAGACGGAGCCCGTGTACCGCCTAGAGAAGTTTCTCGCTACCATCAACGTTGAGGTGCAGGCGCACAGTGACGAGATCGGCGTACAGAATTTTGAGAAGCAAAAGATGCTGAATGAGCGTGAGGGGAAGCAAATGGGGCCTTCACAGAGCACAGCAGCAGCAGCAGGAGTGGAGGACCCGTTTGATGACCCTTTGCTTGTTTTGTCTGCAGCCCCTACAAATGCCCCTGCTTTGCAGGGTCTGTTGGAGACTCACTCAGCTGAAGACGATATTCTGTGAGGACATCCCGCTGCGGGTGTAATGCGTGACCACTATTACTACTAAACAATAATGTGATGGTTTGTTTTTTAGTATTTTTTTTTTAGAATTTATTTAGTTTTATTGTTTGTTATTTTATTATTTTATTTATTTTATTTTCGTTTTTTTTTTTTTTTGGTTTTGCTAAAAAAAAAAAAAAAAATAAGGCGTGTATTACACACACAGAGATACATATACGTACATGTTGACCCTTTCTTCTCTCTTTTCCTCTCCCCCTCTCGCAGTGTGTGTGTGTGTTGAGGAGCATTGCTGCTACTACCGTTGTTTGGGGAGGGGAAGGTCTTTTCTGACACGTTTCTTAGGTATATCAGTCCCCCCCCCCCTCAATGTTTTTTTCCTTCATTTTTGGTGTACCGTTTTGATGCTATCGCTTTTGGTTTTATGTTTTTTGCCTTTATTTTGTGTGTGTATGTGTATGCTTGTGTGCCGGTGCACCGCCACCAGGCACGGTTGCTGACCCGCCGCGGGGGCTGGTGGGTGTCACGACTCTCTTGTTGCGCGTTCCCTCTCGTAGCTCCTTTACACCCGCGCCCCGCTTTCTCTGCCTCTTTGGAACGCTGTGGAGGAAGGTTTGTGGTAGCTTGCGGTTCACTCCGTTCAACACCAAAAGGTTAGAGAAAAGTAAACAACAACAGGAAGAAGAAGCAACGGAGAAAATGATGATGCGCCGTTTGATGATTGCTTCGCCTGTCGCGCGCCGCGTGACAGTTGCGGTTCCCTCGTCTACGTCACTGGTGGTGCGTAGGGCGTCGACTGTCGCTATTTCTGTGCAGGGTCTGCACTACGTCGGCACTGGCCTTGCCGCCATTGCGCTTGCGGGTGTTGGCCTCGGCATTGGTACCATTTTTGGCAACCTGCTTGTCGCCTGCGCGCGCCAGCCGAACCTAACGAAGATGCTGTTCAACTACGCCATTCTTGGATTTGCCCTGACGGAGGCTATCGGTCTGTTTGCCCTCATGCTTGCCTTCCTGATGCTCTTCTCATAGGCTCCCATGTTGGCAGTTGGGGAGGAAACGCAAAGGGAAACGACGAGAAGAAAAAGAGGAAACAAAAGAAGAGGAATAAAAATAAGAAACAAAAACAAAAACAAAGGTTGGGCTAACAGCGGTGCATAGTAGTAGGCGTATTTGTCTGTTCGTGCTTTTTCCGTGTGGGTGTCGCCCTCTGCCGATGGGTGTGGGTGTGCTTGTCCCACACCTTTTCTTCCCCCCTCCCCTATCTCTCTCTCTCTCTATTTACAGATAGCGCTGCTGAGTGAATGGAGGAGGGAAAAACAAAAAACAAAAATAAAAAATAAAAAATGTGCCTCGCATCGGGTAGATCACGCCGCAGTTTAAATGCGCAAACATTGTGGACGCACGTTATAAACAGAGAGGGAATAATTTGTGAAAACACAGTACACATATGGGAGATAAGGGAGAAATGTACTGAAGGGGAAGAAAGCACCGAGGATTTAGTGATGTTTTATTGGTGTTGATAGCAAGTAGGACACATGGGGGTGATATCGTGCCGCTGCAATCATCCCCTTTGTTATAACGGCCTCTTTTTTTTTTTTCTCTCTCTCTCTGTGCTTATTATTATTATTACTACTACTTCTTCTGCGTGGGTGCGGGTGTGCCACAAACATTATTTATTTTTTTTTGTTTTTTTGTTTTTTTTTTGTGCGTGTGGACACACGCCGCACGTTCACATGCAGTGTGTTAGGTGCCAACACTCGTTGCGAGTGTTGTTTTAGTTGGTTTTGGTTTGTACCATTCTTCTTCCGTGTACTTGTGGGCCGTAGGAGGGGGTGAAGAGCGTGCGTGAATGACGGTGAACGAGGCGCCATGGCTGACGTGGCGGGTGGTGGTTGCCCTCATGGTCGCCACATTTCTCCTCTGCCTCGTCCTTGATGGACTGAAGTGTAAAAAAGGGGGCATGACACACTGCATCGGGGGGTCCTTGGCGCCGTGCGAGCAAGAGGTGAACGCGCCGTGGTGTGACGACATGGTGACACCGCCCTTCTTACACGACTACAAGGAGCAGTGCGCCTGCATGATGCACAACGACTCACGGCTGCTGGTGCACATTGTGGAGGTGGCACCACCCCGCACGTTTCCATCAACCACGCAGTCTGGTCAGCGCAGCAGCCGTGTATTGGAGCGTATTTCCATTGCTGCTCTCGTGGCGTCTGCGTTAAAAAATAGCACGGGTAACGTTATTACATCAAATACGAGAAACGGCATTTTTGGCGCGAACCTCTTTGCACCGTTGCGCACCGACGTTGGACTAGCACCCCCCACCACGGGCCCCTGCCCCACAAACGTCAGTAGCCTGATGGTATCCTACAGCTTTGATACGCTGGTGGTCCCGCTGTCATCATCGCTGCTTCAGGATACAGAGTCCGTGATTCCCTTTAAAAACGACGTATTTGCCCTCAAAAAACATTTTCCACGTTTGCAACGCGTCTTTGAACAACTCTTGTCACGAAGAACCACACTCTCAGCGTCAAAGAGGGTTGCCTGTTCAAAGGTGCACCTTGCCATTGTGATCACGGTGATGCCCGGCACCAAAACCTCATGGGTCAATAAGAACGCTACAAACATTGCAGTGACTCTGTTCGACGCTCACACGTACGTTAAGAAAATGCTTACGCGATATCTTCGCAAAAAGCCTCGTTACGTCCGGTTACTGAACAGTATTTGGTATGTCGGAATTCCCATTGGATTCCCTGTGCATCGCGGCGTTTTCGATTACGCTGCTAACGTTATGGGACTTCCTCCTCAACGCAACAACGACCAGGGAGGGGTTAAGGATGTAAACTTGGGCTCCGGCAGTGTGGGTAGAAATATTGAGTCCACCTTGTGTAGTGCTGGTGATGAAAACATTGAAATGTGCCGTGCGATGTGTCGGCTCTACGAGATGCAGGTTGCCGCGTACCAAGAGGCAAACGGCGGTCTGCAGAAGATTGCGGAAGCAAAGGGAGGGCGCGTTGGGATGCGCAGTTTTTTCCTTCCGTACCGCGATCACTTTCAAACAGAGTTATCTGCGGAGCGGTTGAACTGGCGCGATTGCCTTCAACTCTCGCTCAACGGGAGTGTCGCTGTGGCAAAGAGCATCGCGACTAGTCTTTTTATTCCATTCTAAGGTTGTTGTTGTTTTTTATTTTATTTTGGCATGCGTTTCCATCCAGTGATTGGGACAAATGCGGCAATGCACCGGTGCTGTTTTGAGCACCCCGGCAAATGTGGAACTTGCCCTTGCTGGGTCTTTGCTAATGCACATTACCTGGTGGTGGTGGGGTACGTGAATCTTCTTCTTCTGCATGGGTGTGCACGCTTTTCATCGGTTGTTGCGGGCCACTTATGCTTATTTGTTGTTGTTGCTTTGCGGAATGGCGCCCTATAACACGGACGCACCCGTGCCCATTGCTCTTGGTGTGTCTGTGCTTGTTTCTCTGTTATTTTTATTTTATTGTGACTTGAACAACACTTCTTCTACTGCTGGTTCTTTTTTTTTGGCTTATTGACGGGCCGAAGCTCGTTGCGAGAGGGGTGTCGGTCGGATGAGGCGATGTGCTCTCACTGTAGTTTCAGCAACATGGACGCCTGCCAACACCAGTGCCTCTACGGCCGCCGCAGTCGCTGGTGTATTGCAGTGGGACACGAGGCGTTGTTGTCATCAACATGCTAAGGGTCGTAAGTCGTATTGCAGTGCGACTTCCTTCAAACTTCAGCCGCACGAGGTGAATGACACAAACGTCCCGTCGGCGCGAGAGGTGCTGGCGATGATACCCCTGCGTGAGGAGTTGCAGCAGCAGTTACCATCAGCGCGGGAGCTGGAGGCGCAATGCGTGCAGCCGCCGGGGGTGAAAACGAGGCCAGCAATGAGGTGGGGTGAACCGCCACTGTGGCCAAACAGCGACACAGTGGAGGAGATTATGGATGAGGAGCGCTACGGTAGCGAGGAGGGGAAGGATGTGGTGCCGCCGCCGTCGCCTGAGCACATTTTGCTGGCTTGGAAGGCGCTGCTGTGGGGCTCCGTGTACGCCGTGATTGGGGTTGCCGTCGTGGTGTGTGTGGCGATGTACGCCTGCGGGAAGAGCTCGGTGGAGGAGGTGTTGGGGCACCTGCGGGGTCGGGCGGAGCGGGAGCGTCGTCGTCTTGCTGCGGAGGGCGAAGAAGTGAGTTATTACGTGGTGGACCTCACCAGCCCAGCCACGCTGGTTGCGCAGGTGCAGGAGGTTTGGCACGTGCTAGAGGAGCTTGCCAAGGACGGGGGTGAGGGCGAACATGTCTCTTTGGAAAGCGGGGAAGGCGAGGCGCATGCGCGTTCTATCGGAGTTGAGAAGACCGCGACGGTGCACAAGTAAAACCGCACAACAACTAAACAGGGGGGGGGGGGTGAGAAGGCCTTGGGTGCTAAGGAGGCAGGAACCACGCGACGCAGGCAGGGAGAAGGACAACACGCGGAGATGCATATTTTATAGATACAGGCGTGTATACTGTTACCCGCAAGTGCGTATTCATCCATGTTGACCTCACACAACAACCCCCTTTTTTCTTACTTTATCTTTCCTTCTCTCTCACCATATATAATTCTTATGACTGTGAATGAATGACCTTCTTTTAGGCAGCATCGATCATGTTTTAGTCCTCTCTTGTCCTCCCCATCTTCCTTCCTCCTCGGTTGCTGATTGTTGGCCGCAGGAGAAAAAGGGTTGACTGCGGGTGCCTTAGGGAAATATAACAATAGTGATAACAACTTGCTCCTTGATACACGCTCACAAGCATACGTGCAAAGGAGGCGGTGAGTGAACAAATATGAGCTCCTCACTGGCAAACGTAGAACATATTGTCCTTGTGCTGAGTGGCAAGGGTGGGGTGGGAAAATCCACCATGGCCTGCCAACTTGCGCTCGCTCTGATGCACCTGCATGGGAAGCGGGTGGGTTTGCTCGACGTTGACATCTGTGGGCCGAGCGTGCCAACGATATGCGGTGTGGCCGACCGTGACGTTTATCGTGACGAAAAGGGCTGGCAACCCGTTTCTCTCGTGGCGGGTAACTCGACTCCCTCTGCGGGGGACCTCAAAGTCATGTCTATTGCATTTCTCTTGCAAAGTGACAAGGACGCGGTCGTGTGGCGAGGCCCAAAGAAGGATGCCATGATCCGGCAGTTTGTGACAGACGTGCACTGGGGCACGCTGGACTACCTTATCGTTGACACCCCGCCAGGCACTAGCGACGAACACCTCACACTCTGCGAAATACTTCAACCACTCAACCCTTCTGGAGCCGTGATTGTCACAACGCCGCAGGATGTCGCAACGGACGACGTCAAGAAGGAGTTGTCGTTTTGCCACAAGATGGGGATTCGCTGCCTGGGGATTGTAGAGAACATGTCCGGATTCGTCTGCCCTCACTGTGCCCACTGCACCGACATTTTTTCCCGTGGTGGTGGCAGGAAACTTGCTGAGCTTTATGAGGTGGAGTTTCTTGGTGCCGTTCCTATTGACCCCACGCTGTCGCTTGCCGAGGACAAGGGTCAGTGCTTTCTTACGGATGCAAACAACGGAGGGAATGAGACTGTGACGGCAGTGAAGAATGTCATTGGTGCCATATTGAAGCAGGTGGAACGCGCATCGCTCCAGCAGTAAACGCGGAACGCGCCGCATTGCTGCGAGTGCTGATGCAGTATATATCATTTCCTTTTTTATCCCGTGTGTGTCGTTTGTGTGTTTTTTTTGTTTACTTGCATAGTGTGGGCGTTTGTATGGGGTGATGTGAAGGCTAAATGTGGCTACACCAGTTATTCCTTTTTTTTTTTGATACTGCGAGGAAGGGCTCACTCCTTTGAACGGCGAGCGTACACGACGTGGGGCGCCAAAGGGCAACAGGAAGGAGGAAGGATCTTTGTGGGTGTTGCTTAGCACGATAAGTGGAATAACAGAAGCAACAAAACAAATTGTGAATGACACGCCGAAAAGTCTTCGAGGGTCGCCGAATATGTCTTCGAAAGGCTCCAAAGGATCACACACTACTTGGGCTTTGTGTTATGTACTGCGGGACGGGCTATCGCGGATTGCAGCTGCAGACCCACGCACCCATGCACCATACGGTGGAAGGGGTTTTGATTCAGGCATTGAAGGATGTTGGGCTCGTTGAGGCGATTGAGCGGGGCCGTGTGCAGGGTGACACGCACCACTTTGCGCGATCCTGCCGTACAGATCGTGGTGTGCATGCGGTGCGGAACATCATCTGCCTTTTTGTTCCCACAGAACGACTTGAGCTGTTAGGCGGGTGCGATAAACTGAAAGAGGCATTAAACATGGTACTTCCCTCAACGATACGGCTGGCGCGGGTGACACCTTTGATGGGAAATTTCATTCCACGCTTTTCGTGTAATCGGCGTGTGTATCATTATATAATACCGGCATATGCTCTTGTGGCACCCTGCGACCATTGGAAGAGTTTTTTTGAGAAATTTCCCCGGGCGACGGAGTCGCTGCAGCGGTGTGCGGTGGACGGGCGTTCTTATTTGGATTTTTCTTCTGTTGAGTCAGAGCCGTGGGCGGCGGTTTTGTCAGCTGCTGTGACACGCGGTAATGAGCTTCTTCTTCATTACTTGGTGGGGACGCACCGCTTTCATAACTTTTCCGTAGATGTATCTCAGCGTGGTGGGAGTGCGTGGAACCGCAAGGTTATTTCACCGAGCAGCAATGAGGCCGTGCGGTCTGTGTATCGCTGCGAGATTGCCCCGCGCGTCTTCTTGCTGCCGCAGACATCCATTGGGGTGACTCGGGCGGAGTTTCAAGCCGCCCTTCAGGTGGTGAAGGATGATGCTTCCCTTGCAGCGTTGCTGCCGTCGCGGTTGTCAGTGGACGCTTCCGTGGACGGTGTACAAGCTGACGTTCCTTTGCCTTTCGTTGTTTTGCAAATTGAAGGCAACTCGTTTCTTTTCAATATGATACGGAAAATTGTTGGCACTTTAATTGCCCTTTTGCGAGGCGCAAGAGAGACGCTTTTTTTGGAGGCCTTGTCACCTGACCGACGTGTTGTGTGCCCACTGGCCCCCGGGCCGTACTTGTATCTGTTTCTTTCAACCTACCGCCGCTACGACACGGTTGTGCGTGGCAGCCGCTCGGTGCGTTTCCGGCCCATCTCGGAGGAGTGGCGTGGCGACGTCGCCCAGGCGGCTGAAACTTTCGCCCGTTCGTCGGTCGCGGCGGACATCGTTGACCTCGATTTAAACCGCACCCCGGCCATTGGCACGCTTCTTGCCGCACGTGACCTCGCACGACGTGTTACGCGTCCGTGCTGGGAAGCAGAGGACTGTCACCTTTCCACCTTAAAAGAATACCACCCGGCTACAGTGGAGCCACACCCACCTCTCTCAGAGATGACGGCGTTTCTGCGTTCCCTGCGGGTGCATAATTGGAGCATTGAAGTCATCAAGGTCGCGGCCCCTGTCTCCTGCGGGCGCAGCGGCGGCCAAAAGGTTTTTGGCGAGGAGGAGGAGCAGATGAGTAGGGCGAGCAAGCGAGAGAGGGAAGAGGCACGCAAAGAAGAGGTGGCGGCCGGGGAAGAAAGCCTGCCAAGCGTCAAACAGTCGTGTACAGACACGCATGGGGTCGGCAGTGGCGAATCTACAGCGTTGCAGACGACTCAGAGTAATGATGAGGCCAATATCGACCAGAAGCCGAACCCGAATAATGACGATTGCTGTGATGACGACGACGACGGTTGGATTTATGTTGCCCCAACGGAGGAGGCGGCGAGGATAAAACGCTGCGAGTACCACCAAAGGCGCAAGCAGCGTTCCCGTGCATGGGAGCACAGCGACACCGCCATGGAGCGGGCGGTAAACGACTGGAACAGCGAGGGGGGAGGCAGCGAGTAAGTCAAGTGGGTTGTAATTCAGCTTCAGGCTTCATCTCACAGGGAATATAATGACACTGGGGAACATCTGCAGTTGAAATATATATAATAAATTGATATTTGTTTGGAATGCATGACTCTTGATTTTTTTTATTTTTATTTTTGACGCTGAGCCTTCGTTGTTGTTTATTATTATTATTATTTTTTCCCATTGCACGTTTCATTGTTTTTGTTCTGTGTTAGCGTTAGTGGCTGTGGGGTCGTCTGCGCAAAGCATGGGTGAGGACCACATCTTTAGGTCGTGTGTGTCACACAATTACTACGGCGAGGCATTGCAGGCACACCGGAAGCCTATTGCTTGTCCGCAGTGTAAGCGCATCGGGCGACTCGCCGGGTCACTTCCACGAGATCTATCGCCGTATCCCGAAAAGACAGTGGGAGGCCCCTGTACTGTGCCATAAATGCGGCGAGAATGTCCTGCGTCACGAGGACATGGCAGATGCATCTGCGTGTGTGGTATTGCGCATACTGCGAGATATGTCTTTGCACGCACTGTCAGCGATGACAGGGGAAGGAAGGAGCAGAGGCGGCACTCGTATCCCTTGATGTGAGTCATTTTTGTTTTGTTTGCGTGTAGCGTTGCTGTGCATTCCTTTGTGTATTCGCTGGTGGGTGGGTGAGTGAGTGAGTGAGTTTTTTTTTCTTTTTTTGGATGTGGACGGCAATGATGATTTTGTGGCTTTCTACGAGGAAGGCGATTTCCGAATTTCACAGTGTTATTATTTGTTGTGCTCCCCCACCCGCCATCTCCCCTTAATATATATATATATACATGTCCCTATCCCTCTCTTTTTGTGTGGCGGTGAAAGGAGGGATGCGGAGACCTTCGGGTGTGGGAATGCCGCAGGCAGAGTCGCGCCAAGGCGCAGTTGGTTGTGTGATGATGGACGCAGGCTCGTTGCCTTCCAAGGAACTGGGCAAAGCTCGGTCACGCTGCCGCACATGGATGCTGCGGTTGACGAAACATTTGTCTCCACTCAGCGTTTATGTCGCACAGCCTGACGCCTCGGAGCCGTTGGGTTTGATTGCATTGAATGCGGGTGTACAAACGGGTGTTAGCCCGTTTGCGCTGCGTCAGGCCCTTCTGACACACGCAAGCCTGACCGATGAGGCGCTAACCGTTTACTTTAGCTCGCTGCTTCCGTTCGCCTTAGTCCATCTAAGCACGTCCGCAAGGGCGTCGTTGCCTCTTGTCACCGGCGCCTCGGAAATGGAAATTGAAGTTGAAAATACAGTTGGAACTGTGTGCATGATTCGCACGCCGAATTTATGGGCTGCTGGTTCATCGCCGAGTGGTGGACTTTCACTGCTGTACCTGCTTTGGTGCAGGGTGGATGCGGTACTGAATGCGTTGCGCCACGTTTTCCAGCCACCCACAGTAGGCGTGGATGCAACGCTGTTTTGTGAAACATCGCCTCCCGCAGAAGCTGAAGAAGAGACGGCGATGCGGCTGCTCAACTGTGAAGCTGTCCGCGAAGTGCCGGGCGTATACATTGTAAGGGAATTTATTACGCAGCGAGAGCATGATGCAATCTGGTCTGAGCTAAAAGGACCTGCGGCGTTGGGGCTTGAGTTTGAGACTCTCGCACGCCGCAAGGTTGCTCACTTCAACAGAAAGTTTTGCTATGGGATAAACCAGCTTGGAGCGGGAGGGGACTCGGTGAATGCGAGGCCAGCCTTCTTTGAGTGGATGCGGCGGCGTCTAAAGAACGAAGATCTAGCTTGCAAGCTGCAGGACTATCCTGCCGTGGCTCAGGCCTTTTTATGTGATCAACTGACAGTGAACTTTTATGAGTGCAAGGGTACGGACGCTCCAGGCATTGCACACCACGTGGATGCCCACTCAGCGTGTATGGACTGCGTCTTTGTTGTTTCCCTGGGCTCCCACACGGTTTTGGAATATAGTCGACATGACTTACCCCCGGAAGTAGCTGCACCTGTTGGTATTTTTGCGGCACCGAGAAGCTTGTTACTCATGACAGGAGAAGCACGGTATTCTTGGACTCATGGCATTGCCGAGAAGCGGGTGGATATACTTAGCGATCGAATTCCACCGTTGCGGCGCGGAGACCGGGTGAGCCTTACGTGGCGCCGTGGTCGTGAGGCGCCACACCTTCGCGCTGACTGTGTCTGTAAGGAGTTGTGCGATGGTACGTAATGAGAGAGTACGGTAGCCGTGTGCGTCTTTAGGGTGTGTGCGCCTGTGCTTGATTCTTACTCTTAACCGTCACCTATGGTAGGTAAAAGTGGGCGTGTGGGATTAACGGTGTCACTTCAACTTTCTTTTTCCCTTTTAAATAATGAAATGTGCAGTCCCGTTGGTGCCGTGCTGGAACTAAAAAAAAAAAAAAGTGGGCCTTGGAGGTGCGCTGACGCCATGGCATTGCCCGCGCCCACCGTGACACACGGGACCCGCATTAGTAATTTTTCTTACTTCATGATGGTTCTCGCTTTGATTGCGGCGTTGCTTGTTGCATGGCTGCGACAGGAGGAGAGGACGTTGGTTGGGCAAACCTTTCTTGTGAAGCCAAAGTTTGTGGTGGATGGTAGCAGTTTTTATGCCACCACGGAGGAGGGAAAGCTTGTGCTGTTGCGTCTTCGGCTTTTGGATGCCCCGGCGCTGGATGGGCCGTACGGTCGAGAATCCCGCTCTTATCTGAGTCAACTGCTGCTGAACCGTCCTGCGGCGGATGTGCTCTGCCGTGTTACCGGGGCGGATGCAGTTGCGGGTCTCATTGCGGACGTCTTCGTACCGTCTGGCGGCTCGGACTCGGGGCGTTTGATGAGTGTGCAGGAGATGATGGTGCGTCAAGGGTGGGCCTGGGCGATGCAGGGCGGCTTTGCCCCCAACTACAAGCTTCGCGTTATCATGGCCGAGGCGCGTCAGGCCAAACGCGGCCTCTGGCAGGATGAGAGGTACAGGGCTTTGCTCATGCACCGTGCGGCAAGAGGGCAGAAGTTGAGTCCATCGTTGCACGCGGAAGGACATCGCCGGAAACATGGCAGCCAGAATGGACCTGCTTTCCCTCGGGTGCAGCTGTAGCTAAATTGAGGGTGAACTTCTTATCGCCGTCAATCACGGCAGTGGTGGTGTCTTTTGTATTCTTTGTCTTTTTTGTTGTTGAGCTGGCGTTTACTTTACTTCCCCTTTGACCCCCCGGTGTATGCGTGTGCGTGTGCCTCAGCGCAATCTGCGATATGGACGTGCGGTGATTTGTGCTGAGAACGTTGCTCTGTTTTTTTTTTTTTGCTGCACGTTTCATCACTGACGCTGCGTGTAGTGAGGCACAACGGCATCGCAGCTTGGCTCTTCTTATTTTGCAGGTTTTTTTTTCACCCACTTCTTAACGACCTTTTGGATTGCCCGCAGGAAAGGCCTCTGCGTGCGTGTCCGCATCTGTGGCCATCGAACACGAAGAGGAAGAAACGTAACGAAGAGGAACTACTCCACATACATACACACACACACATACACACACACACACCACACACCACATACTCAATCGCCAATGCGCTTTACACGTGGGTGCTACTTGCGGCTGTCACGGGTGCGGCGTCAGGTGGCGGGGCTCTCGACGACCACGAAACTCAACCCAGCCCCCGATCATTACGTGGCGTGGGGCAAAGCCATCCTTACAGAGAATTACAGACGCGTGGGCCCGGAGCACATGTTTCGTACCGCCATTCGTGCACAGCAGCAACTGCAGGGCCTTGCCGATAAGTGGACACCTGACGCAAAGGTGTACTGCTGTGGCTCCATGGTTACGTACGGGCAGATGGAGTGGGGGAGCGATCTTGATCTCGCCTGTATGTTTGACGATCCGTATCCTTCACATGAGGTTCAGGCAAAGCGAACCGACAAACTCTGGACGGTGATAAAGCGCTACGTTCCACACTACCTGCGAAACAATCTACTTGGTCTCACAGAGGCTCGTACGCCTGTGGTGAAGCTCCGGTTTGCTAACGACGACAAGGTCGCGCGTGCGCGGTACACACCGTTGAGTGAGGAGGAGGATCGTAAAGCCCGTACGGCGCTTCTTGATGTGCGAAATCAGTGCATTGACGAGCGTGAGGTGGAGTACATAGCTGATAAAATGGGACGTGAAAATGTGGAGGGGATTTGGGTGGACCGCACCACTTACGGCTGTCGCATTGCTATTCAGTGTCCTTCAAAAGAGCAGATGATTGAGGCGATTGGTTTTTTTCCAGACGGCAAGATCATGACGCGGGGCATGCGTGAGGACTACACACGTGATGTACTTGACCCGCGGTTTGTGCCAGAGATGTTTATGTATCGCTGGGACATTTCTTTTGTAGGCTACGGCGTGAAAAATAGCTATCTCATTCGTTACTATTTGCACAATGGCCCAAGTGCTGCACGACACGCGGCGATGGCTGTTAAAGCGTGGGGTAAAGCCACAAACGTGGGCGCGGGATCCGCTGCGATGCTCACCTCTTACGCTGTGACCATCATGTTTTTGTATTACTTGCTTGTGACGCAGCAAGTGCGGTGGGTTGATCCGTGGTCGCTTCCACATCCGGCGCATCTCCCTCGTTACCCCGATTTCTCGCCACTGCCTGAATGTGACCCGACGGAGCTGGGGCGTTTGTTGCACGGCTTCTTTATCTTTTACGCCCATCACTTTGACTACGAGAAGGAGGTAGTCAGCCTCAACCGCAACCGGCGCAGTCAACGCTCCGACGTTGCATGGATTTTTCCGCAGAACAAGAAGGGTACATTTAGTTATAACTTCTGCATCGAGGATCCCTACGAGGATGTGGGGATGGGCGGCCTCAACTTGGGCCGCCACCTTCATCCTGCAAAGTTTCAACTCGTAAAGCAGGAATTCCTGCGAGCGGCGCAGTGTATGGAAAGATTTTCTCCATTGACGGCGCCTGAGAAGTCTGTTCTTGGCGTTCGCCGCGCGGAGTTGCGCCAGTTTGATAGGGGCGATAAGGACAGGGACAGGGATTGGTGAGGTGATTGGAGCCACCCCAAAAGATGATTGGGGGGAGGGGGAAGTAGCCTCTCTGCATGTGACTGTGTTTGCTTGTATCCCATGTTTTTTTTTATTGTCAACATTCTTTCCCTAATTCACATACCGCAGTTGTGTAGGCCCTTTACAGACTAGGCGTTTATCCAAACATTTTAATGGAATGACACTCCGCCTACAGCGCCCATTGACTCATTTCTGATGGCTGCCTTGTGTTGTTGTGCTGGGTTTTCTAATTATTGTTTGGCTGGGTTGCTGCGTTGAGTGATGAGCGTCCTGCCGGCTCTGTTGCTTTTTTTTTTTCTGTTCTCTGTTGTTTTTTCTTCTGTTTGGATGAAAGTCTGCGGGGGAGGGAGAGGCACAGTCGCTCAGAGTCCTTTCCGACGCGGTGGAGGCGCGCACTTGTTCTCGTCCTCCTTTTGCTATATATATATATATATATCTCTCCTTCTCCCACACACACGCACACACACCTGCGGCGTGGCTGAGGAGGGGGGAGTGGGGACTTGTTTTATCCTTGCCAGAGATGACGGCGTCGATACGTGCGGTGCGGGAGCGCCTGTCCCGCGAGCACTTCGAAAGGGCCCGTGCGTTGAAGGCCGACACCACTGAACAGGCCGAGGAGGTGATGCGGCACCTGTCACTTTCCATCAACTACAACCCCATTTTTGTCACTGCGCTGCTGCTCCGCGGCCAGTTGGCGGCTCGACTCGGTTGCTACGACGTTGCTGTGGCGGACTTTTCGCTGACGATACAGTTGGAGGAGCACGGCCTGGACCGGCGCAGGCTCGCGGCGATGCACGGCGCCCGTGGAAACGTGTTTCGCAGATTGAACAAAATCACTGAGAGCATCTTGGACTTTATGCGGGCGGTGGAGGTGGAACCGGATAACGGGACTTGGTTGTATGAATTAGGCCTTGCGTACTCGCTGCAGGGCAACAGGGCACTTGCGCAGCACTTCTTCACCAGCGCACTAGGAGAGAAAGTTACGGGCCGCATGACAGAAAACGTACGCTTCCGCACTTTCATTTCGTTAGGGACGTGCAAGCTGACTGCAGGCGACGTGAATGGTGCCGAGGCGGTTCTGACACGCGGCCTTGAGATTCAAGAAACGGCGGCGTTGCATAATCTTCTCGGCATTACCCGTTTTAAACGTGAGGAGTACAACATGGCGGCGCGGAATTTTCAACGGGCCTTGGAGCTTGACTCTCTTAACAGCGAGTACCATGTTAACCTTGGTGTCTGCTGCTTTCAGATGGGTACGGCGACGGACGCCCTAAAACATTTTGATGGTGCCGTACTTAGAGACCCGAAGCGTGCCGTACATCACTTCTTTCGTGGCAACACAGAACTTGTGCTTGAACTCTATCCACAAGCCATTGCAGACCTGAATGAGGCGATCGCGTTGGATGCCTCACGTGAGACACACCACTACAGCAAGGCCTTGGCCTTTATGGGGCAGACTCGGTACGAGGAGGCGCAACAGGAGCTGCAAAAAGCTCTGGAGTTGAATCCCAGGTTTCGTACCGCATGGGTGCATTCCGGTCTGTTAAATTTTTTACAGGGCGATTTATTTACCGCCCTTGACTGCTTTACTCAAGCACTAGAGCTTTGGGACGCGGATGCTCTTGTGCATGAGTGTATTGGGCTTGTATATTGCGCGCTCAAGTACAACGACCTTGCGACTGAGTCTTTTACGCGATGTATTCGACTTTGTCCGGAGAACCCCGTCTTTTACTTTCGTCGTGGCGTTGCCATGATTAACCACGGTGACTTCCATGGCGCGTATCTTGACCTACACGAGGCTGTTCACCAGCAAAAGTTTAATGATGCACAGGCGTTTCATTCTCTTTCCGTTGTTTTGAGTAGGCTGGGTCGACACGCAGAGTCGCTGGAATACGCAAATAAGGCGATCGCCTTGAGTGCAAACAATTATATTTTTTTGCTTCAGAGGGCGGAGTGTCTGTACACTATGGGAAACTACACCGAGGTCCTCAACGACGTCGCTCACGTTTTTGAACTCGGTCACGAGAGTGCGGAAGTGTATTACCTGCGCGGGCGTTCTAACTATGTGCTGCACGCCTTCCAGAATGCGTTGGAGGATTTGTTGCAGGCAGCAAAAATGCAGCCGCTACTGAATGACAGCGCCGACTACTGTTTCGCCCTCGGAGAGGCCTATCTGTATTCCGGGCAGAATCCAGGTGCCGCCGAGGTTGCCTTTACAAGGGCCATCACTTTTCACCCCAATCCACCATTGTTCTTTTTTGATGAGCGGGCGAAGGCGCGCCAACGCCTGGGTGACGCCGCAGGGACGCTAGCCGACCTTAACATTGTGCTGCGCGAGGATGCGCGTGATCCGAGGATGTTGCTTCGACGGGCCTTTGCAAACAAGGCGCTCCGGCAGTACGATGCCGCGGCTGGAGACTTTGAGAAGGCGAAGTCGATGGAGGCTGTCAGGGAGGCGTTGATGTGTGTTTCGTATGAGAACTTTTTTACGATTGACGAAATCGTGTGAGATGTCACGGAGTAACTCGAAGTCCACCGACACACACACACCACAAAAGTGGACAAAGTTGTTGACGCTGCGAGGGCCAATGAAAAGTAAGTGCAAAGAGCAGGAGGGAGGGAAAAGGGGAGATCGTGTGGGTGGAGGAGTGTGAGAGTTGCTGCTTCTTGCTGTGAATGTACAATGTCAGGTCTGGTGTCATAAGTGCGTGTGGCACTAGACAAGAAACAAATTTACTCTTGATAGCGTTTGCCGCTACGGCTTTTTATTGTTATTATTATTCGTTCTTGTTTTGTGTGTTCCTGTGCGTGCGTGCGTGTTTTTTTTTTTGTTGTGGGACCTCTTTCCTGTTTTTTTTGTTCGTTTTTCATGCTCTTGCAGCTTTTTTTAAATTTTCTTCTTCTTTTGGTTTATCATTTACTACTATCATTATTATTGAACGGAAAGACGGGCCGGCGCAGGTGGGGCGGGGAAAAACACACACACAAAGAAGCCTAAAAGGAAACTTTACGTAGTCTCTGTATAATATTATTCACAGTTCCCTCCCACCCCGAATTTGTCTCATTGTTTTTTTCCTGTTCCTTTTTTTTTATCCTCATCGCGTGAACGCAGACGGTGGGGGATGCTGCGATGCTGCTCGTCTCTGTTGTGTGCGGTCACGTCGACGGAGGTGACGTTTAGGCGGGCTTTGGGGTCGCAGAGCACACTTCTTGACCTCATTCCTGTGAAGAAGCCGATGATTGAGGGCTCGCTCAGATGGTTTGTCGAGGAGAATATTGAGGTTGTGCTTGTGTCCGGTGTGAAGGGCATCTCCCCCGACGCAGTAACGGAGCATGTAAGGCGGCGAGCGGTTCATCTTTTGCGTCAGTACGGTGAGGGCGATGCAGTGAAGGGATGCCAAGCACTCCGGCGATGCATTGAGGAGTCGAGGACGGTGCGGGGTCTGCTTCATCGCCTTGACCTGCAAGTGCGGCTGCGCCTCTGGAATTCGACGACGAAGGTGGAGGGGGAAACTCTGTCGCCCTCGCCAGTGTCACCCGCACGAGTAGCGGACGACATAGAACTGCAGGAGGAGTGTGGTGAAACACTGTACTGCTCAGTTTATGGGACTGACGCGTGGGAGCCGTATCGGCACGAACAGCACATTGGGGATGTATCAACGTCACCGTCGGTGCCGTGCGTGCGCGAGCTCCTTAGAGAGGCTCTACGAATTGTGCAAGGTGACGCGGAGATGAGGGGCCGACGGTTTGCAGCGGCTGTATGCCACGAGGCGCATTTGCTTTTCTCCACTGGAACCTCCGTGACATCACTACACGATGGTACTTTTTTCTTGTGGGAAAGGGCTTCAAAGGGAGATGGACACTTTGTTGTGGAGGATCCGGCACTGCGATGCTTGGAATGTTCCACCCGGTACACGGTGGAGATGGAATTTCTTCATTACGAAAAGGATGCTATAGATACATTTGGCATTACCGCGGGTACGTGGCTGCTGCACGATGATGCGGAAAATGTGGAGAAACGTGACGTGCCGTTGTCGATGCTGAAGGACAAGGCGGGTCTCTTGCACAGAAGCAGGTGCAGTGAGGTATTAAGTCACCAAACAGAGCCCCTAGCGGAGTCTAGAATCAAGTCCGTCGAAGACGCGGGGTCTGTTGTTCGCATGAAAACATGCAAAGAAGGAGAATTTGCTTCGACGCTTTTGCGTTCACTTTGCTCCCAACAAATTCTTCAAACTCTACTTTTTTATGCCTCAACTGAGATGCTGTGCGGTCGCCTCGCCCCAGTACGCGCGGAGGATTTTGTCCGAAGTTGTGGGCGGCTTGACGTTGACTGCTGGTTAAGTGAACGGGGACAACCTATAACGGTTCCCATGGCACCACGTTATTTACTTCACCCTGACCCGTTGCTCTTTCTGCTAGAGTGCCTGCCGCTAGAATTCGGCACGAGGGGGGCGTCGTCTATCTCTGTGGGATCTTTGCGCTTTGAGTGTCACCTGGCTATCACAGCGAGTGGACGTATGTCGACAGCAGTGGGGGGCTTCAGCTCTGCTGCGACGGCGGTGTCAGCGCTTGTGCCGTGGCATCTGACCACTTTCCGGCGACCTGTCGTGGTGGAGCCGGCGCAGCATCTTCAACACAAATCTCAAACGTTGGGTAGCATTTTGGCAGCGGCGGACGAGACACGCCTGACAGATTCACGTGGGACATCCGATGAGTCTCTTCAGACAACCTCTCCGTTTGCCGTGGAGACTATTGACATGGAGGCCACACTCAAAAAAATGGGCGTGGTCTCAGGGAAATTCACGCAGGACTTTATGGAGTATTGCGATGCGGAAGGCCGAAGCATTTTTCGGTTTGAGCATATGGACACTCTGCAGGGGATTGAACGCTTTGTGAGGCGCCTGCGGCGAAGCCAATCTGCATGCTTCACCTCAATCTTTGTTTACAACAACAGGAGAGCCTTGTCGTCTATTGTGTGGCGTGCCTTTGCTGGAATAACACCGCATAAATTGCCGCCCTACATGAGGCGAATTCGAATACCTGTTCCATTAGTATCAGGAAAATTTTTTGCAATTCGCTTCTTTGGTTTGCTGGAGCAGGAGCAGAGGGAATACGCCCTGCTGAGCATCCTTGAGCGCTACTCTAAAGACCCAGCGCAATGGCCGTTGAAGGGCCCATTGCCATGCTTCTTTAACCGATGGCGACTGACGCGAGGTGTAATCGAGGCTATTCTACGCCATGATGCACTGTTTCGCTATACTCTTGAACGTGCTTCTGTGCAGGGGCAGGAGGGGAAGTTTCTCCTGCGCTTCTACTCCGGGGATGCGAAGACTCACGAGGCGCAGCTGGAGGAGAAACGGCTTCTTCCACAGATGCGGCGTTGCTTGGTTCAATATGTGGCACGGTGGGATGTCCAAGTTCCATCCGTTGAGACGAATGCTTTCCTGCTGGCGGAGGTTCGAAGTAATTTATCGTTTACTTGTAGAGGCTTTGTTGCCTCGTTGCTGCAAAATAGCGAGCTACTGCAGCAAAAAGACCGAGAGACCTCGTTGGAGCTGTACATCATTGAGGGTGTGAGGATCCGTCTCTGCGCGGGCAGTTTTGCCAAGCAGGAGGAGGCGAAGGAGGTGCTGTCTAGGATGTTTCTGGAGCAACACTTCCCGGAGCTGCTGCCGGTGGTGCATCAACTGCAGCGGGTAAATGGTGTTCTTTCACGTCATACTGGCGGGAAGGAAATGCTGTTTCACTGCTGCGATAACACCAGTGAGCGACGCGGTTACCGCTGGGAGCTGCAGGCGGTTGCCGATGACGCGAGGACGGGGACGGGGACGGTGACGGTACTGGACGCAGCGGAGGGGGCATCACGGCTGGACGCGCTCATGGCGCTCCTGGACAAGGTCGATTGCGCGCGAGAAGCAGCGGCACTGTACCCGGTAGCAAGAAAAGCAAAAACGCCCGCCACTCCGGCGTTGGTACAGACGATTGAGGAATATCAAGCGCTGCTCGCACAACGGCGCGGGATGCAGAGGATCACGCACGACTATGACGCGGAGCGCAACGTGCTGACGGTGCGGGGAATCAGCGACCACGGGGATGTGGCAGGGAACAGCGCCACAATTCTTTGCGTCATCCCACTTGGGGAGGTGGGCTCCGTTGGGGATATTATGCACAGGTACTACCGCAGAGAACTTGGCCTCACCGACCCGCCGCTGTTCAAGACACCCGAGGAACTGCGGGCTGTCCCTTTGAAGTCGATGTACGACTTGTGTCAGATCCACTTTGCGCTGCCGTTGCCTCCGCTGGAGGATGCAATTGACGCATCACAAGAGAAGACGGGATGGAGAGTTGAACTGCGTCTTCCCGCGAAACTTTTTGCGCTTCAGGGGCTGCGCAATGTCGAATACGTTTACTGGGGACGTGGTAAACGCGAGGGAAGACGCAACGTTGTATGCAACTTTTACATGGCGCTTCACGGTGATCCACCGGCGGCTGTGAGGCGGATTTTGTCGGAGGCTCTTAGTGGTGGAATGCCGTCTACCGACAGCGTTCCCTCCTCTGCCACAGTCTTGCCTGCCACTGACAAGCGTAACGACATTGCCATGAACCAGCACACTCCTAACAACAGCGGAGGCGGCAGCAGCAGCAGCAGCAGTAAGGCGATGATGGGTGCTGCTGGAAGCGGTGATTACGTCAAGGACAATAATGCAACGAGCCGGGGGATGTGTGTTGGTCAGGGTGACACCTGCATGTACACTGAACTTATGGGAATAATCTGCTCTCATTTTAGACCTCACGTGGGCCACGATGGGGTGGTGGAGTTTCGGCTAAGTTACATTACTGGCTTCACGGGTCGCTACGTTTCCAGTTCAGCGCAGGGGGGGAAATGGGTGGATCTGTTTAATGTGCCGTTCCGCACAACAATATGGCTGCCCTTGCAGCTGCTTGCCGTGCTGCTTTCGTGTGCCCGTCGCCTTGTTCCCGATGAGGAGTTGGAGGCGTCGCTGTTACGCAGTGCCTCTTCATGGCCCTCACTTTTTCTAGATACGGCGCAAAGTGAGCGTCGCTTTTGCACCACGTTCCTACGGCGCTACTTGGGTCTTTGGACATTTGAGGAGAATGACGTGGGTGTTCAGGGAGAGGTACCGGGCTCGATATATCTTGTGGAACGCATACGACGCGTTCGGGGCGGTGGTTTTGAGGCATCGTTGTCGCTTCTGCAGACGCCACTGCCGCCAACTGTGACGACGTTTTCACGGACGCTAGCGTCTCACAGGGCGGCGACTGTGCCTCGAGCGGAAGCAAATATGTGGGGGGCAGTGCTGCAGCACCTGCCAGAGCTGAACGCCGTACAGCCGGAGGACGCTGACAAGGCGGTTTTTCGGGCCATCGTGAGAGTTGCCACTGATATGATGGTCTAGAAGCAATGACGGGATGAGGGATGCGTGAATCAGTTGAAGGAACCTTTTTTCTTGATCACGTTGATCTCTTATCTGCGCTAGGTGCATCTATGTCCATGTGTCTCTCTGTGTGGTTTGTTGTTGTTGTTGTTGTTTTAGGTGGTGGTGGTGGGTGGGGGGGGGGGTATTTCTTTCTTCAAATACGTTTGGATTTACTGTGGTGCCATTTTTTTTTTGTTCCTTCGTTTTGTGCGTGTCCGTGTGGCTATGGGGTGCACTTCGTTGTCCGTGCCCGTTTTTTTTTTTACGTTTTAACCACCTTGTCTCTGCCGCCTTTTCCCTGTTCTCTTTGCCTCGCGCCATTGGTTGCCGCATGTGACGCTTCCTCCGTGCCATGCGTGCTGCCACGACACAAGCCGTAGTGGGGATGAGTTTGACTGCAGATAGAGAAAGATGACGACGGTATTTACGAAGGAGGAGTTGGAGGACTTGGCGTACGTGGATCTCGATGACGACTTTGTGGAGCGAAATGTACGTAATCAGACGTTTGACGCGGAGTTAAGCCGCCGGGCGGCTCAAGAGGCGTGCGATGACTTTGTTAGGACCTTCCTTGGCGATGACGAGGTGCCCTCCCTGCATCTGATGATGCGGGAATGCGACAGCTCTCTTGCCGGGATCGAGCGTGTGCTGGAGCGGTTTATTGTTAACCTGGAGTCGGTTCAGCACGATATTGGCGACGTACGTGAGCGGCTCAAGCGTATTGGGGTCAGCCTCACCAACACGAGTAAGTTGGAGCGGGCGCTGTGGAGTGTTGTGTCGCGCCTCATTGTGCCTCCCGAGGTTGTACGCATTATTATCTACTGCAACGATGAGGAGCTCGGTCCGCAGTTAAAGCTGAGTATGCAGCAACTTTTGATGATTCTTCGTTACCGCAAGGAGGGAAGTTGCCGGATTGAGTCGGACGCCGAGACGCGGATTTCCTTTGACGCGTGCAAGATATATGCCGAACTGACGGAGGTGCTTGACCGTCTCACCGTTCATGCTTGTGTGAAGACGAAGAGGTTTCTCTCCAAGAAGTTGGCGTACCTTAACGTGAGGAACACCAACGTGTACATTCAACAGGAACATGTCTTGAAGCCATATGCGTTTTATGTGCATTTTCTTCGCTCCGCCGCCTCACTTCTGCGCCGTCCGCAGGAACGCGACGAAGTCGACCCCGGAGCTGCGGAGCTTCTCCCATTTTGTATAACTAAGGCGCTGTATGATGAGCTGCGTTGTGAGTATTGCGCGATCATGTCACAGTTGTACCTTGACCGCTTCCAGCATTATGTAATGACGCTGAATGCGATGGAGAAATCCACGCAAACCGTGTACACCGGAACTGCACAGGTGGCGTATGTTTTGCCTCTGCTCGTTGAGTTACAGGAGGCGACACCGTCGTCCACGTTTGAATTGGGCGAACGTGCCGGCATCCTAAACGCGGTGCTCGCCCAGCCCTTGGTGCCCCTTGTGGAGCACGCAAAGCAGCAGTTGCACTTCTACGAGGAGACGTTTCGCTCTTTGAATGTGCTGCTGTGTGACGCCGTGACGCATGAGTTTCTCTTTACATTTGCGTTCTTTTCTGGTGATATGTCCGTCTTTGTGGACGTCTTCAAACCCACTATTCAGTTTTTTGTGGATTACGTGTCGGAGGTGTTGTTAGGCCAAAACGATGGTACTGTGCGCCGTCTGATGCGTGAAAAATATCCGCAGGCGTCCGTCAACCCCAATTGCCGCTATGACTGTTACGGTCTACTGCTGCTTGTTCGTCTCTGTCATGAATTTCGCTCGTTTATGAGGGATGTGCGACGACTCAGCTGCCTCGAAGGATTTTACGACTCCTTGTTGCTACTTTTGTGGCCAGCATTTCAGCGGACGTATGAGCGACAGATGCTTTCGCTACGATCGGCGGATGCTGTAAGCCTCTCGCGGGTACTTTTGAGGACACATAGCGGTCATGCATGGGGGTGGGTGAAGTGTGTTCACCCATTGAGCCAACACTATGCGGGGTTTGTCCAGTCACTCGTCACAATTGGCTCCGGCTGTGGCTTTGATGAGTTTAGTGACAATGATGAACCATCGCGTTCTTTTAGTTCGGTGGATGCTGTGAATGGAACCACCGCCGCCGCGAATCTCAGTAATACACATGAGATTAGTTTTGCCGAACTGCGGCGTCTCGCATGGCGCGCCATTGAGGCAGAACGTGCGTCTGACGCAGCGGACAGTGCATCACGCTTTGCGGTGCTTACCGGAAATCTCTCTTTCATGCGGGTGGAGGTTTTACGTCTGTTGCGGGAGATGGGGCAACACGTGGCTGCGGGTGACACGAAGCACCCAGAGACCCATGAAATGTGCGTTCTTGCCTTTTTGTTGAACAATGTTCGCGCCATCCTGCGTCCGTGGAACGAGTATCTTGCGAATAACAGCTCACCGTCGCTTGAGGAGGACTACCGGGCGCTGGAAGAAGTCGAGCGGGTTCACAGAAGCGGGTTTGTGGACGCACAGCTGCGGATGTACTTCCCGTTCCTTTACGGTGTCGTGCATCAGGAGGAGGTTGCAGAGATGCAGTTGGAGAAGCTGCTGGAATCCGCGGATGCCTTCACGCGGAATTGGAAGCGTGAACTTGATAACGTTTGCGGTGCAGTGCGAACGATGATTGCGGACCCCGTGCACGAGGGGGAGCTGCTGGCACAAGTCTGCATGGAAGTGCTACTGCGCAACACGCGCCTGCATGGATGCGTGTCGCGGGTGTTGGCGGCAGCGCCCTCTCAGTCTCCTTCCGCTGCCTCCGACACGGATGGCGTGAACCGCCCTATTCGCTCTTTTGTGGTGACAAACCAGCAGATGTTGCAGCACATGCGAACACTTGCAACTATGCCAGAGGATGAGGAGGGCGTGGGGACGCGTACGAAGTTCGGAGAGGGGTTGGGCTTTCCCACGTTGTAGGACGCTTCTTGTATGGCTTTCTCACCTCTGCGCGAGAACACAACACGGCTGCTAGAGGTGAATACACCCCACCCACAATGGAGTGTACGGGATCTAGGAAGGCGTAGTTGCGTGTTTTATTATTCACTCTTCTTGTTGTTGGCAAGGTGGTTGTTTTTGATATATATATATATTTGGCCTTTAGGGCTTTGTTATGCTGGAGTTGTGGGTGCGTGTTGGGTCTGCATCTTTCCGTGACTTTTTTTTTTTGTTGGGCTTCTCATTCTTCTTCCTGTTTTCACGGGTGCATGTCGTAGGATTCCGTCAATCCTGTGTGTCTCGTTTTTTGCTGGGCTGGGGCTGGGGCTGGGGAGTGTGTCCTGTGATTCTGCCTATTGAGTGTCCATCGAGAAGTAGTACTACTTTTATCCGACTGTGACAAAAAAGCAAGGATAGAAAAACGAAAACAATAACAACAAACAAACAAACAGTCTCATGGATCGGCTGCAGCAGTGGCAGACACAATGGAAGGATTTGCCGCAACCGCGTAAAATTAAAGCCTTGCGGTTCGTCGTCTTTGGGTGCTACGCCTTCGCACTATTTTTTCTTGTCATCTACGCCTTTGGAGGAACCAAAAAACGGGTTAGCGAGCCTGCGCGTGTGGTGGTGTTTATGGAAACCACACCGGGTGCTCTCATGGCGCTACGATACCTTGCGAAGCGTGCGGATGTGTCGATTGCCATGATTGTACTGACGGTGAATGCGTGGAACGCCAACCTCAACGCCGCCTACGACAACACCGCCGCGTTTCTTGCCATGCTAAAAGGGGAAGCGGTCTTGAAGTACGATGTCCCGGTGTACTATGGCAGCAGTGTGGCGCAGGTGAATGCCAGATTTAACGATGAAATTATGTTTCCCGTAAACGGCGGCGAAGCGCCAAACACAACCGCCTGTACATATCGCCGTGTAATTGGGCCGGGTCTTTCGTTGGCGGCTGACTCCTTGTTTGGTGCGTCTGAGTTGCTCGATGGAGTGCCTCTGTTTGTCCCAGGAAGTGGCCACGGTGATGGCGATGACGATGGCGATAGCCTTCTTGGACAGTACGAATTTTTCAACACCCCGCTATCGAGGTATTTATCAGATCACGCCGCGGCGTTTTTGGTGCTTGGACCCGCGACGGATGCTGCGTCGTTTCTGCAGCAGCAGCATCCGAAGATTCGTGCAAAGGTGAATCATATTTTTCTCGCTGGTGGTGCTTTAAAGGTGAAGGGCGACACGTGTCTGGTGTATCCACCAAACTGGCGCTCTGAGCAACATACCTTCTTTGACCCCCTTGCGGCAAATTACATAGTGAGCGGTGCGCATGGTCGGCCGGTGGATCTTCTGCCCTTGGACGCCCTTCCACAGTGGCCAACTTCATTGTATGCGGCTCTCATCACCTCGCGCGTTGACCCATCAACAACATCATCCTCATTGGTGGACGCTTCTGCGCGGGTGGTGGCGCGTGCTTTCATAGGCTACAGCAAGCAGTTTGGCATAGATAAGTTGATGCCTGTTGAGGTGTTGGCGGCACCATACTTTGCCGATGCCGTGACACGAGGCGGGGCAACTGTCGCCGAGATGTCTTTGCTGGTAGCCAATGGTTTCACCATGTCTACGGACGGTCTCATTGGCGCGCCAAGCAGCGTGCAGCCGCAGAAAAAATCATTTAGAGTAAAGGTTGTTTTGCACCTTAACGAAAGGATGTTCTGGTCCCGTCTTGAGGCCGTGGACAGGCTGAGGATTTAGCAGCAAAAGGGATATTTCAGTGCTTGTTTTTTTTTTTTTTTTTGTAGTGACGTGGTGCAATGCTCGTGCTGACCTTTTTGCTGCGTAGGATAACCGCCTCGAGTTTTCCTTTGGACGGTACGGGTCTGTCGCCCTGTAGCATGCGTGCGTGTTTCTCTCAGGGGTGTAGCCGGGGAGTGGAAAACGCATGATGCACACACACACACACACACACGCTTCCTACCGTGTATGCCACGCCACGCGGATGTGTTCCCGCCGCACACGCCTGCCCCATGTTTGCATCTTCATTTTACTTTTGTCTCATTCTTGCGCTGTGGCTGTTGTTATCCCTCCTCCCTGGAAGCAAGGAAAGGGGCACGGTGTGTGTGTGCAGATACCCATACCCATTCCAACAACGTTAGCAATAGTGAGCACGATAGCGGCGAAATCCACGGCGGCCTGCGACTCCTGCTCATTATCATCTCACACAACTAAAGGACGAAGTGGCGGGGAGGAGACTTGACAAACGTAGTTTCCAGTAGAGTCTCAGCTGCTTCTTCTTGTGTCTGTGCGTCTGCGCATTGTTTCTTTCTAGGCAAGTGCAGCGGAAGAAAGAGAATAGTAATACTTCAAAGACAACGTCATAGATCACACCCACTTACCCACATAAACTAACTTATACACAGTTACATACAAACAGGCATCTACACACAAAACGGAAAATAAAATAAAATGAAAAGCAACAGAAATAACGAGAGCAATTGCCTTCGTTTCATAGACATTAACCAGGGATCTTTTCTGAGCAGCCCAGGATCCCAGTTATCACGACCCCATCCGACATCAATAAGCAAAGCGGGGACACGGGCTCTACCATCGATAGAAGACAGCACCGCCTCCATTTCTGCCAACCTGAGTTATGAAGAGTTGCGGATATGTTTGCAGAACGTGTTGTCGCGTATCGAGCTCTTCTGCAACAACAATGTAGAGGAGCGTCGCCGAATTCTTCAGAGTGAGTTTTCACGCCTTATGTGTGCCGCATCTGACGAGACTAAGCGGGCACTGGACGTGGTTCGTAGTGACGCTCCATTGAGCTACCGTGTGTTGGAAGTCCTGCGCTTTCGACGCCGTGAGCTGTGCACGGGCTTTGAATGTTGCTTGAGTGACCTTAAGGAATGGTTTTCGCTTGCAATGCTGTTGGATGAACCTGATACCTTTCAGTTTGCGATGCAGTACGCGCAGGAGTTGGGACCATGCTCGCGGAAGGAGTTGGGGGATTGTGTTTTTGTAAATACATCGAGCGCTGAATCTCTCTGGCATGCGCTGCTTGGTGTGCGTGCACCTGTAGATTATTTGGTTCCCTTTGACTTCCGCTGCTACGGTCTTATTCTAGATGACTTGATTGCCATGGGAGATGAGCTGCCGCATTCGACATTAATTCAATCAGTGCAATCTGACGTGACGCTTCCGATGCGTGAGCTTCACGCGGAGTGGCTGCTTAATGTCAGTATGGCGACCAATTTACGGTTGGAGACGTTTTTTCTCGCGGTGGCGATTCTGGACCGTTACTTGTCCAGGGTGGCGATACGGCGGGGGCTGCTGCACCTTGTGGGCTGTGCGGCCCTCTTGTTGGCATCCAAGCACGAGGAGATTTTTCCGGTCCCACTCCAGACGTTGGTGCGTCACGGCAAGGGTCAATTTACGGTGGACATGTTGGTCGCTACAGAGTGCAAACTGTTTGAGCTTGTTGGCTTTGACGTGGTGATTCCAACTCTCAGTGCAGTGGGCATGGGGGTTCTTCTGCCGCAAGACCCCCCTCCAAGTGAGGCGCAACGCAACTGCCTTCTTTACATCCTTGCCACCCTGGCCATTCGCACTCACTATCGACAGTACAGACTCTCCTCACTTGCTGCCGCGGCTGTTTATTTGAGTCGTGTGTGCTTCAGCATTCCAACCGGACGCGCGTGTGAGGAAGTGTTGTCGCTACTACCTGTCATTGGGGCTGCCCTGTGCCGCAACTCGACTGTAGGCGCCGGTGGCGTCCACGATATTTTTTCTAGAAGCAAATACAACAACGTGAGTCACCTGCAACTCTCCGAGCTGACAAGAACTGGGCTGCAGGAGGCCATGTAATAGGTTTGTATAGAAAGACGCGGGGATTGGAAGGATGAAAAGGCTCTGAGGTGTGTGTGGGGGGTGGGTGGAGTGTGCCTGGAGGGGAGTTACTGGAGGGGCAGGAGGGTGAGGTGACTGGAAAAAGCGAGAGAATGCCCCGCCGATGACGGAGATGTCGTTATGGAACATCTGCTTCACCTCATCCATGCATGCATTTGCGTAGGTTCAAAGTACATGTGTGTTTCGACTATAACCTGCCACGCTCTTTGCCCTCGTCCCTTCATTAAGCAAAGAGAGAAGCATGCACACACACACACAAAAAAAAAAAAAAGGAAACACCCACACATCCCCTACTGTTCCTCAGTGATCTCTCTTTCGTTTCCCACCACCCCGATTTTTTTTTCCTTTTTTCGTTGTCTCTTTTTCCATGTGTGTTGTTTTTATTGTTGGCTGCTGCCCTGGTTTATTATAAAATTAATTAGACGTAACCGCCGTGCACATGCGCCACCGACTGCTGCTTCTTTTTCGTTATCTTTTGTGATGGAGATGAATGCAGGTACCGGTGTGATTGTCGGCAACCCATGCACTTCATTTGGGTGTATAGATGCATATTTGTGATCTGTTTTTTTTTTTTTGTTGCCTGTGACGGTTGCGTTTTTCTTCGTTAAGCAGTCATGATGTGGTGCGTGTGGCGTTTTTTTTTGTTTTAATTTCTTTCTGATGATGTTTTGTTTTTAGTCTTGGATGGGGAGTGCATGCACTTGTACGTGCATCATGTTTTCCCTTTTTTTTTTTTGTTTTTCAAGACGGTGTCCGGTTTTGCGTCGAGGGGTGTGCAGGCACACACACACATACACAAGAGATGCGTTTGTGGCACGCGGCGTGCCGTTGACGGTCACGCGTGCACGCCTGTAAGCGTGTATTTTTACACGCCTACATGATTATAGATGTGTGTGTGTGTTATGAGCGTCGTGGCAGGTGGGTTTCTTCTTGTTGTTCTTCAGTAGCAGCAGCGGCGTCCGCGTCCGCCGCGAGCGACACCGCTGTCTTAGGTCGAAGAACACCTCACTGCTCTCTCTTCCCCACATACGCCCCACGTAATGGAAAGAAGAAAAAAAAGGGGGAAAAAAAAATAATAATAATCACTTAGGTGCTCGCGTGTAGTGCCAAAACTCAAACTCTTTCTCGTCGTTTCCTTTTTTATTTTTATTTTACTTTTTTGTTATCGTTGCTTTGGAGACGCGGCATTGCGTTGTGGCAGCAACATTGCACTTCCAAGCGCAATCAAAAATGCCCGGGATGTCGTCGAAGTTAGTAACGCGCAGGAATGACGAACGAAAGGCAAAGCCTTGCACCATTGCGCGAATGGCGGCCATTCAAAAAAAAATTGTACAGATAGATCGGCGTTTATCTTCCTTGCAATTCACGGGGAACTTGAATGAGACGGTAGGCGATGTAACTCCGCAGGAAGACATGGATTCCTCCGTTATGCACATGCTTTCGGTTGACCTTTGCCAGTTGGCAGCGTCTGGTGACGCTGTGGGGGTGCGCACACTTCTTAACTGCGGCGTTGATACGGACTGCAGGGACTACGACGAGCAGACCCCACTGCATATTGCTAGTGCCTTGGGTCATGTCCATGTGGTTTGTCTACTGCTTGAGTTTGGGGCTGACCCTGCGCTTTTGGACAAAACTGAGAAAACGCCTTTGAAACTGGCGGAGGAGAATCACCACAGTGACGTTGTGCAGCTGCTCCTGAAGCACTCTGAGGCCCATCGTCAAGAGATAGACACCTGCAGTAGGTCGGATAGTTCTCTCTTTGATAGTCCCCTCACATGTGGGCATAGGGATTTTTCCCGGATTCCCCAACCAATGATGGGAACTCTTATTGTCATCATGGTAGGTCTTCCTGGGAGCGGTAAAACGTATATTGCGAAGCAGATTCAACGCTACTTTCAATGGAATGGATTACCAAGCAGTATTTTTTCTCGCTCCAGCTATGAAGACAACTTTGAAGGGGAATCTCGCATTTCTTCTGCCCTCGCAAATGACATGACACAATTTATAGCGGAAACCGACGGCGTGGCGGTGCTAGATGGCACGAGCTGCAGCCCGTCAAGTCGTAGGGCGTTGATGAGTGCGATTAAAGAAACGGAGCGCATTCCGCCGAATCGTGTGGTATTTGTAGAGGTTGTGAATAATGATCCAGAGATTCTGCAGTTAAATGTGAATCATATGAAGGAAATGAATCCGGATGTCCCGGAAACTTTTGTTGATGACTACTATGCCTCGATTGAACAGCTAAAAACCGTGTACAAACCCCTGAATCCTACAGCTGACAAGGATCTCACGTATATCCGCATTGAAGATCAGGTAACATATGCGCTTAATAACATTTCTGGATGGATGCCGACACGACTTTTCTACATGTTGCATAACTTGTGCCATGCTCCTAGCAATCTGTACCTTACCCGGGCAGGGGAGTATGTTGACTTGGTTGCCGGTCGAATAGGTGGAAATTCACGACTGACAGAGCGTGGGCAGGCGTATAGTGAAGCACTTTTTGAATACTTTCAACAAGAGGTTCAGCTAAATAAGGTTACTATTATGAGTAGTTGTGCTCTTCGCTGCACAGAAACAGTACAACGCTTTGAAGAACAGAGCGTGCTGCAACAGGTCGGTGCTGTGAATCCACAGAGCGAGGCTCTAAAATTGAGTTGTCGCGTGGTATACTTACCCACACTTGACAACGTGAATCATGGGGATTGCGACGGACAACTTTTTTCCGACGTCCGTAGGACGATGCCAGGCACACTGCTGCAAATGCAGGCAGATCCCTACCACACCGCATGGCCCAATGGCGAGTGTATCCACCAGCTTTACAACGCTCGCCTCGAGCCGCACATTCACGACATTCAAGCCAGCACCGAGCCTGTTCTCGTGGTCTCCCACCTTGTGCTGCTGCAGGGCCTCTACTCCTACTTTGTTTCTGAGAATGACAGGTTTGTGGCCCCGCAAAATGCCTATCAAATTGAAATTCCCCTCGAGAGTGTCATTAAAATTCGTCGGGTGGGTGTCAACCGCATCGCGGAGATCATTGACCTCTCAAAGGAAGTTGACAAAATTGAACGGCGCCGCACCGGGAAGGTGACAAAACCGACGAAACACAGCGAGCTAGATATTTTCTACTCCACTGCGAAGAGGTGATGTAAAAAACGTGGCGATGAGGATTAGTACGAGAGGTGCCCCACGGCAGGCCCACGAGAAAAAGGCAGCATAAACGCCTACGTGCACTGGAGGCTCGGAGTGAGCACAAAAAAGGCGGGATGAAGCACCCGTAGCGAATGAGCGGCGGCATCAAAAAAAAAATGGGGTGGGGTGGGGTGGGGTGGGGTGGGGGAAGAGAGAGGAGATAAAAGTGTATTTCTGTACATTTCTTGACGGTGGGGAGAGGGCTTTGGTGGGAACGAGCAAGTCGTGGGTGCAGCACCTTCCAAGAAACACAACGCGGAGACAGGAGAGGGGGTATGACAACTTGCGCCCAAAATGAAAGTTAACTTAAGCTTTGAGGATGCCAGTTCTGGGCAACTTTGGGTTGTGTCCCTGGTGTTTGCGTCGTCTGTGACTTTCTCTTCCTTTTGATGGTGTTTTGTTTTTGATTTCGTGAGTTTCTTATTGTCGTTATTGTTTCTGCAGGACTAGGTCGTCGGTCGTAGTTCACAGAGAGCAGGTGTGTGCAAGGCCATTAAATGTCGCTCAAGGCGAAGATTGATGTGTTCCCGTTCGAGGCCTACCTGCTGCAGGACCCCTCTGTTATGAGTGTCATGCAGGCGGTGGTGCGGGGCACCAATGCGAACACCAACACTAATAATAATAGCGGCATGAACGACGGCAGTGGTGTCGGTGGTGGTGCGGTGAATAAACGTCGTGATGCTGGCGGCAATGCCTCTCAGGCTGTGGAGCGGCGACTCAAGACGCCACTAGAAAAACTCATGAGCCTCAAGGCGCGTTGTCGCGAGGAGCAATGTGTGCACTCGGTTGAGGGTGTCCTTCTTGTACACGATCACGACCACCCGCACGTCCTTTTGCTGCGGCACAATAACACAAAGTCGCTAGCACAGTCACGCGTGTTGCCAGCGACGAACGTAAACAATCTGGCCGTCTTCTGCTTGCCTGGTGGGCGTTGCAGGAAAGGTGAACCGGAGGAGATGTGTCTACTGCGAAAGCTTGGTAGGGACTTGCTAAATGAAAAAAAAAGTTCGATGACGTCACGGGCAGCGGAGAACGAGCAGTCGGAGACGGTGGTTGAGGTTGGTGCTTCGCATAATGTGGCGCCGTCCACGTCGTCCTTTCGCGTTGGCGAAGTCCTTGGGCGGTGGTACAGGCCACACTTTGATCCCTTTATGTACCCGTACGTTCCAGCGCATGTGGCTGAGAGTGATGTGAAGGAGGTGCGAACCGTTTTTCTTGTGCACCTTCCACCGCAGATGCTGCTGACGGTGGCGCAGCGTGACATGGAGCTGGTTGCCGCACCTCTGTTTGATTTGTATGAAAACGCCGCGAAGTACGGCTCCCTCATCGCCTCCATCCCAACACTCTTGTCGCGTGTAAACATCAATTACTGCAAGTAGATGCGAACAGAGAGGAGGGGGAGGGACAAGGAAATAAAAGAGGTGCTGAATGAAATGGTTTTGTCTGGGGTGGTGGTGGCGTCTATGCCTCCCACTCCTTTTTTTTCCCACTTTTTTCTTTCCCTCTGTTGTGCCATCCGTTGCTGCAGGTATTGGATTTGTTTTGTCATGATCACACAGTTTCTTCTGCTGTTGCCTGGCATTTATGGCGTACGCCGGTTTTTTTCTTGCAGTTTCTGAGGGTAAATTTCGCTCCTCATTCCACACTTTTTTTTTGTCCCCTTTTTTCTGTGTGTGTGCGTGTTTACGTTTGAATCTTCTGCTGCCGTGCCCTCAGAGGACACGCAGAGAAGCTTCCCGCATACGATTACGAAATTAGAAACACTGCCTAGTTCAGGCCGTCGTGTTGAACACGTGTACACACACACACTCATACACGCAAAGGAAGGAAATTCATGGTGACGTTATGGGGCAGAAACAATCTTTGAACGATTTACTGCGCCAGTACATTTATAACCGCGACAATGATGGTCTGACGGAATTTCTCCGCGTCCACGAGGCAGAGCTCGGTGCGGCTTGCATAGATGAAGTCATTTACGTTGAGCTTATTGGGCGGCAGTGGGACTCAAACACGATTTACCGTTTTGCCAAGTTTGCTACCGACAAACATTTGGCGGTACTCATAGCTACCGCCGTACTTCACGGTCATGTGGTGCAGCTTGCCCCTCTTTTTGAGTTGATGCGGGACCGCAAGCGGACTATTGAGGAGTATCACCTCAAACATTTGTTTTTGACGGCCTGCGAGCGAGAGAACGTGGACGCCGTCCGCGCGTTTATTGCAAATAAGTGCTTTGACCCGTCGGATCGACGCCCTGTTCGGGCTGTGTTGCGTGCACAACTGAGTAAGTCGGCCGTGAATGAGGAGTTGGTGAAACTGGTTTTGGCGGCTCACCCGCTGCAGACGGACAACGTGGAATACATCCGCAATGACTGCCTTGCCACCGCCAAGAGCGATGGTGTTCGCAAAGTTGTGGATGAACTTCTATTTAACTATATACCTTAAGACGTTCATGTGAGGTGGATCACGGGTATTTGTTTTGGCTGAATATTTATTCAGCTTTGTTTGTTTGCCTTTTTTTTTGGTCTGCCCCCCTTTTTTCTTGCTTCGTCGTTCTCCCCCTCTCTCCTATATGTGTGCGGACCCGTCTCGTGTCTCTTGCACAAGACCACAACTGCGCAATACGAGAGAAAGTTTTTTTTTTTTTTGTCTTGTCGTCTTTATTTTTTGTTTTTAGTTGTTTTTTTTTGTTTTGTTTTTGTGGTTGAGGGCGATGGTCATTGTGTGGGGTTTTGTGCGCATTCGCACTATCTACTGTCTACTGCCTCTCCCCCACCTTCTCATTGTGTGTGTGTTTGTGTGTGTGTGGGAAAACGCAATGTGAAGGAGCGAGCACCAACGTATGCGGAGACGTTGTCTTGCGACTGTCGGGTGTGTCGGTGGCACGATGTTTCTCACCACATCCACGCCGCCGAACACCGCTAGTAGCGCCGCTGCAACAACGACGACGAAGAGTTCGCCATTTGCATTGCCGTTGGGTAGGCAGGTCCGACACGGTCTCAGCTCAGACTGGCGCGAACAGGTTCGGCGTTCGGGTGGTGTTCTCAATGACATCTCGCCTGCGCTACCCGACAGCAATCACACCATCGAGCAGCGACAGCGTGTGGCGGGGTGGCAGCCGGTAGTGAAGCTCCTCGGCGACCAACGGCTTCGTGTGGCAATTGTTGGTCGCATGAACAGCGGTAAGTCATCTCTGTTTAATTTGCTGAGCGAGGACCCGACGATGCCAAATCGGAAGAACGTTGTACGTGACTTTGACGGCATCACGCGGGACTCGGTGGAGGGCCATGCCCAGTTGGAAGGGATGCATTTCACCGTCATTGACACACCTGGCATGGTGAACGGCAAACTGGTGGAGGAGGCCTTTCGCACTGTGGAGACCGCTGATGTTGCCATTTTCGTCACAGCGGTGGATGAAGATCTGCACCCAGCCGAGTTTGACCTCATTCGGTATTTGCATCTCAAGTGCATGCCAACGTTTGTGCTGGTGAACAAGATGGATCTCGTCTCGTTAGAGGAGGAGGATCGTGTCCTTGAACGCTACAATGAACTTGGGTTAGGCAATGCCATTCCATTTTCTGCGCGGCTAAAATCGGGAATGGAGATGCTTGCGGCTGTGCTGGAGCCATTGTACCATATCCACGCGATGCAGAAAGTGGAGAATGACTGGGATATTGAGGATCTCGCCCTGCAGGGAGACGAGTCTGCCATGGAGGAGATACGTGACCGCAATTGCGCAGATCGCTTTATTCGTATTGCACTTGTGGGGAGAACAAATAGCGGTAAGTCGAGTCTAATCAACCGTTTAGTGGGCTTTGAGCGTAACCGTGCCGTAAATGAGAAAAACTCAACCCGTGATCCAGTGGAACTACCATGCATTTACAAGGGGCGTAAAGTGAAGCTTATTGATACTGCTGGCTTGAGCCGGCACCGATTCCGTGCCGACCGTGATTTCATTGGCCGCATTCACGAACTCTCCGTCAATGAGATTCGCTACGCGCATGTGGTGATTGTCGTTTTTGATGCCACAGAAGGTCATCCTAACAAGTACGACATGGCTGTCTTGCACTCTGTTGCTTCAGAGGGGCGACCGTTTTTACTGTGTGCCAATAAGTGGGATGCCGTGCTGGATCAGAGTGCGACTGCAGAGGCGATTGACTTCAAAATCAAGCGACAAGTACGGGAGGTAAAGTACAGCAACGCCGTCGTTGTCTCCGCCCACACGGGACTAAACCTCAGCTTACTCCTGGATCAGGCATTGTCACTTTATGATACGTGGAACAAACGGGTGCGGCGTGCGGAGCTGACACGGTTCTGGCGCAAAATGGAGAAGTCAGTTATCATTCCCTACCACGTTGCCCGTGTGGGACGCATTGCACAGGTGAATACGCGTCCGCCGACATTTCTGCTTCAGCTGCAGACGAAGAACGATGAAAATACATTGCCAAAGGCGCTCCAGGAGATGATGAAAAACGCTCTTGTGGAAGAGTTCGACTTTCGCGGCGTTCCCATCCGGCTCATTCAGGACGTAAAGGACTCTAACCCCGACTACATTTAGTGCAACAGCACCATGCAGTGTGTGTGTGTGTGTGTGTGTATGGTTGAAGAAGGCTGAGGATGAAGGGGTACGGATGGATGTGTCTTAACAGCGGCACACATTATTTTTGTTTTTTTTTAGTGCTCGTCTAATTGCAGCGATTTTTCGTACCGACAATATTTATTTTCCCCCGTTTTTTTTTATGTTTTTAGCATTATTATTACTATTTTATTATCCTAGTGGAAGACAAAGCGGGGTATTCATTGTCGTTAGACACATCTGCAAGTGCGCTGCTTTCTTCTGCCCACCTCCCTCCTCTTGTGGCAACATTCCCTTTAGACTGTGTGGGCGGAAAGACGAAGGTGGGGGGGGGGGGGGGAAACCAAACAAGCGGACACAAGGAACGAACGAAAAATAATATACACATAAAAAAAGAACGCGCAGGCGCATAGTAATGGGTAAACGGCGCCGCTCATGCTCCTTGTCAAGCACGAGGGACGCAAGTAACAACAACACCAACACCAACAATCTGGACGGTGAGGCACTTGACGCTTCCTGTGACGAGGGTGAGACACTGTGCGAATCAACGCAGCCGTTGGGTGTGTTCCTCTGGAGGCGGGTAAATATGGTGTTGTACACCAGCATGCTAAAGCAATTGCATTATACCTGCGGTGTTGTTGCAATTGAGCGGTCGTGGGATACGCGCCGAGTCATTATTCATGACTTGAATTTGCGTCTTGTAGCGTTTTGGGAGGCGGAGACAGCTACGTTGGCTGCCACAGAGCGAGAGAGGCTCAGCGGGGTCTTTCATTCTCACCTAAATGCCATGATAGAGCGCTTCTCATCATTGGCTGTCACAGACATGCGGGGTGGTGATCTTTGTCGTGCTTTTCTTCAAGCACTTGACGTGTTTGGCTTCCCTGAGGAGGAGAACATGGAAGAGGCGTTGCTAGTGTCCGCCATGCGAAAGAGCGCCGATCCGCACGCGTATTCGTACCACAAGCGGACATCGCATAAGCTTGGCGTTTTGCCGCGTTACGACGGAGATCGGCGAACGGAAGACCAACACCGCCTGCCGCGGTTGGGTCGTGTTGTGCAGCTCCCTTCTCCCCACCCCCACTCTGAGGTCAACACGGAGATTCAGTTGATTGAGCCAAAGAAGCGTCGTCCTCCACTCGACGAAAATCGCATCTTTTTGCATCCCAAAAAGGCGACCTCTTCTGGAATGGAAGACATCCTCGTGGACGAGGAGCTGCGCTACCGCGCCCTTGTAGTACTCGGGCGTCACCTTGATACCTTCGCCTCACTTCAACATTTGTCACCCTTCGTCCGGTTTTTGCTGTGGGACACACTTGGGCGAGACGACGAGGTGTTTGAGCGACTAACTGCGTCTCCCACCGATAATGAGGAGTTGCTTGCGTGGCAGCAAGATCACTTGGAGTCACTGCGTCGTCTTGTGGCAGAGAAGCGTGCCGTTTTTGATGTCACCCGGGCTGCAGCTCGGGAAACGGCATTGCGCATTGGATGGTGTGCTGTAAGCGCTCACTGGCGCGACCAGGTGCTGCGCACGGTGGAGGTGAGTGAGGATGCGGATTGGTTTCTTCTTCGTGCTACAGCGAAAACAGGTTCAAAAGCGATTTTTCCCAATTATGCCCTTTCCACAGTTATAAAAGATATCGCTCTCAAGGCGCTGCGGCGAGTGCGTGATGGCCACGTGGATTGTGGTGTGGAGGATGCCGTGGAGTGCTACAGAGTGATCACAGATGTGTTGTTTCCACTGCTTGAGGGGACGGCACCTTGCTTGCCTGGGTTTGAAGCCAGCCGTAGCCCCACGACTACTGCAGTCAGTGAAGATGAAAATTGCGGTGCAGGTGAGCCGCAGTCACAGCAAGCGGAGGAGGCAGAGGAAGAGGGAGATGAAGAGTTGAAGAAGCGCGTGGCTGCCCTCATGGTAGAGAGAACAGGGTCCGTGTGCAGTGACGCTGAGGTCGCGCGTGGGGTGCGATGGTGCTTGGACTGTGAATCGTTGCTCCCGCGCAAAGGATCGACGTGCGCCTTTGTGAGTGACATGTTTGTGTGGCCATTGCAGTGCCTAGCGTCTCTTTTGGAACTTATAGCTGTGACGCGCCACTCGGTGGATGGAATTAAAAAATTTGCTGCCTCCTTCCTTCCGTCCAACTGGGGCGATCAGGAGTCTGTGTTGGAGTTTCTCCTGCGACGCGAGCCTACAAATATCCCGCTTGCGTCTCTTGTTGGGTTTCCACGTCTGGTACGCGACGTGTTTGTCTCAGCGCAGTGGTTGCGGAATGACAAATACTGTAGTGTTGTGGTGGAGTGTCGTCGACAGGCCTGCGCCCTGCCATCGGGCGCGGCGGCGAGCAACTTCATACAGTGGCGAGCTCTCGCAACGATGCTTAGTCGGCTTAACTATAGCGAGGACGTGTTTGCGGTCACCGTGCATGAGATGCCGCCGGATGCGGCGGAGCAGGGAAAACTGTGGACCGTCGCGGAGCTGGAATGCACACCCAAGACGTGGGTTGAAGGTCTTGCGCTGATGCTGACTGCAGCTGCAGCTCCTGACGAGTCCTCAACCTGAGGTGGGAGCGCACTCACATGTACGCACCGAGACAAACGGGGGAAAACACATTTTGTATTTATTGGTATTTGTTCTCGTTGCTCTTCTTTTTCTTCCCCCTCCCCTCCTTTGTGCTTTGTGCGTCGTTTCTCTGAAACGTACACATCAAAATTTTTTCCATGTATGCTTTTTTTTTTTCAATAAAACGTGTGTTGCTTCTTCTTTCCCTGCTACGTGCATACGTACATATACACGCTTGTGTTAGCTACTTCTATGGTTTCACTTACTCGTCTTGAAGAGGTGGCCGGGAAAGCCGAGACGCTGCGGTGCGTTCTACGCAGTGCCTTTCTTGAGGACGCTCCCAGGATTGAGGTGACCATCTTTGAACAGCTGCAGAAGATTCTGGAGCACTGGCTCTTGTCATCGTCTACTACTAATGCTGCTGCTGCTGCTGCTCCCCAGTCGGATGATGATGCACATCTTCTTATTGAACAGTACTACCTGCAGGAAGTTTTTGCGGCGATGTTGTTTCTTGCAGATGAGTCTTTCCCCCAGCAGAACCGTACGGTGCGCGTTGAGACTCTCCCGCGCCTTGATACATTTAACATTTTGAAATCTGAGTTCTACGTGGATGTGCAGGTGCGGCGTTACTGCACGGAGCTGTTGCTGTATTTTTGTTTTTCCCGTGTGTGCCAAACGTACCGCGTTGTCCAGGCGCTTTATCCTCTGCTTCTCCACGGCAAGCGGGCTTTGGTGAGTGGTGCGTCGCAGAATCACGTGGGTGAGGGTCTCTTTAATGCGCCTCGTTTTCTGCAAAAGAAGAAGTTTATCTCCAGTCTCCTCAACGGTCTCATGATGACGCTTCCTGACGGTGTTATGGGTGTGGTTCGAGTCTTACTACTCGACGACCGCGTGGAGGAGGGCATGGCGATGGATGCTGCCAAGCAGATTGCGTCCCTCTTCTACACCCCACTACATCGTGCGTGGGTTTTGAAGGAAGGCAGCGTGACCTACACCGAATGTCTAACGTTGACGGAACAGGTCATGCTGCTCTCTGCGCAGCTGGTGAATCTTTTGGCGTGTGTGACGGAGAAGTCGGTTACTCCCGAGGTGGATCTGGTGCAGCATCGTTTGCCCCTTTTTTTGAAGAGGCAGTCGAACCGACAAGGGCGTCTCCTAAAGCGAGAAACAATTGAGGAAAGACTACAGCTGGGCATCGCGACCATGCTTAACGCCACACTGCACCTACCGCCTCGAGACGAGAAAGACAATTCGGTATTTGCCCGCAGCTACAAATGCTTCTGTCTTTATAATAGGCATCTCCTCACACCTGCATTTAGGGCACTCACCTTACGCGTTGCCACCGGGGACAGGGATAGGGATGAGGTCCTGCTGGCGTTGCGCCGTCTCCTTGCACTTGCGCGGGGCTGCACGCTGGGTCCGTCGCCGCGTGCGTTGTTGCTTACACTAGAGCCACTTTCACCTGGTCTACTTGAGTTGCTCGCGCTTGGCGACGCTCTACCAGCCGAGCACTGTGCTCTGCTTGAAGGCATATTAGCGGTATTATGGGAGTTACCAGCACAGTTTGAGGAGCTTGCGCACATTCTAGTGCGAGGCGCACTCATGTCTGTTCGTGGCTCGTACTCGGTAGATCGAGTGCAGATGAAGGTGTTTGTGGATCTTCAATGTCCCTCTCCAACTTCCGTGCGCATACGTGGTTTGCGGCGTTTCATATTGCATGCTGCTATTCCAAAGGATGCCGTATGTAAGGTGTTGATGGCGACGGCAACGATGTGCCAGCAGCGTGCTGCAATGCCAAATGCCTCTGCTGTAGAAGAGAGAAAGAAAAGTTCAAACTCGGCTGCATTTTTGTACACTGAAGACGAACTAGAGGGGAATGCCGACAGTGATAGCGAGGAGATTATGTTGGGTCGCATAGTTGAAGAGATGTGTCTTCAGCTGAGCGCGGAGGAACTGTTCGGCACCCGAGTTACTTTGGATCGCGTATGCGAAGTTGTCTCCAAGGTGGCGACAATCTCCTACGCATGCTGGCGGTGGGCAGTGCTATTGATTCCCCGTATTCTCGCCGTGGATGTCATACACTCCATTTTTACAGAGTATGCAAGTGCAATGGAAAGGCATAAGGCAGCAAGTGCACTATTGTCACAGTTGCAACAACTTTCATCTTTGGTAGATGCCTTGCAGGATGACGTTGTGGATACTGCGGCTGCGACGACGCTGGAGATTTGCATTGCCACCGTACAGCAGTACGACTCCGATGCGTACACGGATGACACCACATTTGCTGAGTGGAGGACTACACTGCGGATGATTGAGGAGAGTCTTGACGTGAGCTCCACTGCCTCGCTTGTGGTTCATCTTCTGGCACTCTCACGTGGGGCAGCCGAGGCTGCCTCTCGCCTCTCCCGAAAACAGATGCCTAGCGGTAGGAAGACAGTAAATGATAATTGCCCGGGGGACGTCAAGGAGTGCGGTGGTGTTGTACAATCCGCCATGTGGCTGCTCGTTCGTGTGCTTGTTGAGGTGGATGATGCATGCGCTGCTGTAGCTGCATGCACAACATTGACGTGGTGGTCGCTTGCACGGTTGGACTCTGTGGACTCATCGTTTGTGTCGCGTCTTGTGCTGGGCCTTCTCAGCGTGGACGAGGGCAGCTCGGTGGCACTACGCTCTATCCTTTCAGGCGTCACTTGTGCCGTAACACCGCCACGCATTAGCCGCATGAAGGTGCGTTTGCTTGATGTTCTTCTTGGCCTTTGCGACTACGACGAGGAGGGGCGCACACTGCGCAATATCGATGATTACTGCAAATTGGAGAGAAGATGCACCCTTTACGATGTTCTTGTTGGGTTGTGTGGGTCTCAGCACAGCCCTGTTGTGCAGGTTGCCGCCCTGCATCTCATTGGCCATTACACTATTGCCACATATCCTCGTGTCTCACTCGCCGCAACTTGTACACTGTGCGTGGATGTTTTTCGCCACACAACACACGAGATGGCAAAGGCTGCGTGTGCCTCGATGCTGTCACACGTCGCAGGAGCTCTTGAAACGATGGGCGTCCTTGCGGCTCTCAACGACGTTGATCTTGAAGTGCTACACCGAATGACGGAAGCCATGTGTAGTTACCGCGGAGCTGTAGGCGACAGTGATGATCACGAGTCCGTGATTCATTACCACGGTCGCTGCATCAGGAGGGTGCTGCAGCATTCGTTTCACGTGCTGCGGGAAGCCTAGACGTTCTACGTGCCTTTCCTGCACAATTGGACGCTGTGGATGGAACTTGGGAGTGAATCGTGTTTTTTTTTCTGTTATGACGATTTGATGTTGCCTTGTTTCTGGCATCGGTGAGAGTGTGGCGTGGGTGGCCTGCGGCCATGAGAGAGGCACGAGCACGCATCCACACGGCGGGAAATGCGGGTAAGGGAAAAACGTGTTCATGAATGCAAACCACGTAAAAAAGTGACTGCATTTCACACTCTTTGGGTTTGAACGGGAACACGACGAAGAACACGGTTTGCGAGGAGCGAGCGAGGGGTAAGAAGTGTTGTGAAAGTAGCAGCATTCAAAAAGTAGATGATAAAAACGATTTTTTTTTATTTGTTTTTGTTTTTTTTGTTTTCTCGTTCTTTACTTTTTTTCTCATTTATCCACCTCTTCACCCGCTTGCAGTGGTCTCGTCTCCGGCAGAGTGTGTGTGGGGGGTGGGGGCTGTGGGACGACTATAGGAAAAACAGAGTAGAGTTGTGAGAACTAGAAGATACACGCGTATTTGCACCATAGACGTTGGTCTTTTGCGGAATCCAGTGGAGAAGCCGCTAATACAGGGACAGTAATTTAAAGGAATCGATAACATTTCTAAGGAGGTCATGAGCAACCCGCCGCCAGTACAGACGTACCCGCTGATGGATCGCTGGTTTGTCACATATTTTCCATTTGTCCGACAAAAAAAAAGGGGAAAGACTTTGATGAGCAGCAGAAGCCAAAGGAACTGGACTGGGTGACGACAGCGGAGGAGGTGTACGCCACCATTAATTCTTTTCCTTCCCTGGTGTTGCTACCGGCAGATGATAACTTGGTTTTTGCCCGAAACAAAGTGGAGCCCTACTTTGAGAACTTTCCGGACGGTGATCGGGTTTCCGTATTTACGCGGACGAAGGCGCAGGGCGAACAAGCCGTGGTGTTGGTGCTCGCAGCGGTGTTGGGGGAACACTTACAGACTGTCACAGGCCATGAATGCGTCGCCGATGTCGTGCGCATTGCACACAAGCCTGGCAGTGTGCACCGCGAGTCACTGCGTGTGGAGTTGTGGCTGCACAAAAGTGACTATTGCGACAAGGTGGTGCAGTACTTTGCTGACCTGTTCAAGACGTACCCTGGCATCCGCGTCACGCGTCTCCCCATCAGCACTGAAGGTACCGCCGATTGATTTTTTTTTTTTTTGTCTTCTTTCAGTCAGGTTTTTTTTGTTTTTTACTCATTCCCTTTTTGCGTGTGAGTTTTGTGGCGAGTGGGTGGAAGGGAAGAGGGAGCAATGGTCAGCGGAAATGCACGAAGGCATGCACGTGAGAGAGCAAGGGCGAAACGGAGTAACGATGAAAGATTTGTGAGAGGCAGGAAATACTGGGTAGCTGAAGCAACAGCAAGGAAGACGTGAGGGAGAGTTGACGTTGTGTGTGCAGATATGTGCCTATCATCTTGATCTGCTAGTTTGTGTGTCTTTACTGCAAAGGCATATTATCTCTTTTTCTCTCTCGCTGGGGAGGGTAAAGTTAGCAGGCTGGAATAGGAGAGTGAGAGTGAGATTGAGAGAGGGAAAAAAAATATTGGTGATGAGAGGGGGGCCGCATCGCTCTTCACCACCGCCTTATTCAATAATGATTGCACTATTTCTGTAGCTGACCGCTGTCAGGGGCGGGCATGTGTTTTTCTTGCATGTGAACCGCATTTACAGCAATGAGTGAGTGGGGGGGGGGGGGGGGGGCCGATGGACGCGACGGTGTTGGTGTTATGTTTCACATGGCTTTGTTTTTCATTTTTACTTCTTTTTTTTTGTTTTCGCGTTTGTGTCTCTCATGGTTGTTGTGCAATTAGGGCAGCAGTTCCCCTTGCCGAGTCCCCATCGACAGTACGGGGATGGGGGCGGAGGAATACTTTCCCATAACGGAGCGTTCCTTCGACCTTCTTATCCGCCAGTACGAGATTGAGGCGGCTGCAGCTCGTGCGGATGCCGTTGCGGGGGGAGAAGATGCCACCGAGAGTGGTAGAGAGTTGGCGCTGATGGCACAGTACATTGAAGACCTCGCCAGCGACGCAAGGCGGCTGCGTCGCAAATTGCAGGCTTGCGGTGGCGACGCAGAGGCGACACCAAATTGGTCGACAGAAGATGTAACCAGCCTGCGTTTATTGGGGTTTGATGTAAGCGGCATAACTGTGGCTGCAGTGGAAAAGGGCTGTGTGAGTGCACATAGTACTCCCGCCGAGCAGCATCCCAAGATGCCCAACTTGGATAAATTGCTTGCGATGGAAAAGAAAATAAATCAGCTGCAGACAAAAGTAGATGATTTGACGGCAGTAAATGATGCACTACGTCAAATGGTGGCACATCAAACTTGCACGGGAGGCCAGTCCCAAGGAGAGGAACGTGGCGTTTCCGATGCAGTAGTTGCCCTTACAGAGGGGTTTAAGGCCTTGAAGGCTGCCTACATGAGTAAACGCGACATGTATTGTATGGCGCAAGAGACGCAAAAAAAGTCTACCTTTACATTTCGTGACATTTGCCCCAAGGACCATACGGTGGACAACACGGACGTGGAGTTTCCAGCGTATTCAACTAGGGGTGTTGCAGATGCCCTTTGCACTCTCCGCACTGTGAGCTCCTGTCAATGTGTGCGATACTGCGTTGCAGCAGATGCTTCTGACATGGCTGATGCAATTGATGTAGCTGTGGTTCAGCTGCTTAATGGGCTTGGTTTCCCGTTTCCTGTGTCAATACGGCGTCTTGGCGCGAGAGGAGACTATTTTATTGATCGCCGCGTTAAAATCAAACTTGTGGGGCACCAGCTGGTTGTACGGCCATGGCTGGCTTCAGGCGCTCATCAGGGGTTGTCTGCCGACGGCACGCGCCGACCAGGCTACGAACACTTGGCGAAGTATCTCATTCACCTCTACTCTCCTGCTCTGGATTTGGACAGGGTCGCAAACGGTGGAGGAGGCGATGACGAGGAGGAACATACTGCGGAAGGAGCTTGTGGCAACGACATTGTGACGCTGAAACGACAACAGCGGGAGCTTCAGCAGGCGTTGGAGAAGCGTTGTGCGCAGATGCATGCATATCAGAAACAGCTGGAGGCGGGTCTTTCTCCGTCATCGAATGCAGGACCGTTGAGAGGCGATGCGTCAGACTCTTCTGTGGAGGTGTTAGTCGGACAAGGTCCTCGAATGGTCGAGGAAACCACTTCTCACCCAAAGTCTCGTCCATTTACAGGAACAAATGAGCGTGTTGCCCATATACTTCGCTTAATAGAAGTGCATGGACGAGTTCCTAACTTTTCGCGTTTTTCCGAGTGAGAGCTGCGGCAGCTTAAACGTGCGACGTTGCAGCGGCAGATGCAGATAGGGAAGTAGATTTACTGGCCTCATTTCAACTTTGCCGCCTGAATCATCATGAGCTATGCGTGTATGCTGTTGTTTGTGTATTGTTGTTGTTGTTGTTGTTGTTTTATCCCCCACGTTCTTACAGTATTTATTGAAACGTGCTGGGGCTGCTCTCCTTATACCGCTTTCTCAGATATTTTACGCCGTGTTTTTTGCACATTATTTTTCAAGGTTCTTTTTCTCATTGTGTTGTGTTATTCGTGCAGAGTCTACTAACGCTCGAATACTCACTCCGTCTATGGATTGTTTATCCCCTCTTTTTTTTTTTGATGCCCACAACTGTAAAGGGTCTAGCGGCCTTGTGCCATGTCATTTCCAAACGCCATCGTGACATGGCAGTCCCCACGAGGGCCGTCATCGGTGGTGGAGGTTCTTCAGAGTTGTCCGAATCTTTTAGGTTATCTTTGTGAGACGTCTCGCACCGAGGCGATGCGGCGGCCGCCGAGCCCGCACCGAAGGCTGTTTATTCTCTTTCCGGGTAATCCTGGTGTCGTGCAGCTTTATGAACGTTTTGTGGAACTCATGTCTGTACGTCGTTTGGACGTGCTTGTGATGGGGTTTGCCGGGCACAGTGTTGTTGACCAAAACAACGGTAGGGCCTTTGATCTACAGGATCAGGTGGAAACAGCCGATCACTTTTTGCATGCCATTTTTACCCCGTGCACGCTGAAGTGGTATGGAAGACATATTTACGTTGGTGGCCACAGCATTGGAGCGTTTGTGGCGCTGCAGATGTTACCGCGTTTTTCCTCTATTAAACGCTGCTTCTCGCTTTGCGGGGTACTTTCAAATATACAGAATTCACCGAACGGGAAACGACTTTTTTTTTTGAGTAGCAATATGATGCTTTATACTCTGTTTAGTTACTGTTTGGTATTAGTTCTCCTGATGCCCAGGGTGATTTTTGCGTCATTGTTGCGCTGGTACGCGCCCACAGTGAGGCCATCACTACGGAGATTGATGACACAGCATTTGAATCAGAATATTTTCTGGAACTGCTTTGGTATGGCGCGGCAGGAGTTCCGTCAGGTGCGTGCGCTTGACAAACCACTGTTGAGAGCTGTGGAGGGTCGCATGGTGTTCTACTACGTCATCAGTGACAAGTGGGCGACACCGCAGCATGCAAGTGAGGTAAGGGACTTATGTAAAGGGAATGCCGGCTTTGTGATGGAGATGGATCCGGATGTTCCACACGCCTGGTGCCTTGATCACAACGAGGTTGTGATTGAACGTGGAGTTATACCGTTTCTATGAGGGTGCTACCCGTGCAGTGCGTGGTGCTTGGGCTCACGGGTAGTTCTCGCCATCCTGCCTTTAAGGGCAGGAGGCCTCTACTTCCTCATTCCTTCAATGGAAAAGGAAGGAAACATTGTAGTCTTTGGAGTTGCTCTTGTATATGTGACTTGTGTGTGTGCCTGTTATGCTACGGAAGCGAGCAGGAGCAACAACAACAACAACAATACACATGCACACACAAAGGATGATATATATAACTTGCTTCTTGCACCCCTTTTTCTCTTTTTGTTAGTAACCGCTCACCCAAACGTGTACAATAAAGAGAACATGCAGTGGGGACTAAACGGAAAGGGAAGGGGAGAGGGAGAGTAACAAGGAAAAAAATAAAACAACAACATTGTTTTATCTTTAGTTCCTCATGTGTGCGCTTGACTTTTTTATTTATTAGCTTGTAGCTCGTATACATATACATCTTTACTGTGTTGGTTTGTTTGTTTGTTTTGAATCTTTGTTTTTGCGGTCTTATTGTTAATGTCTGCCGCATCTAAATGTGGCTGCAGTTGGCGGCCAGATGGATAGCTTTTTTTCGATGACTCAAGACAGCGCCAACTCTCTGCACATAGTTGGGGAACCGACCTTTGAGGGTCTTGCCCGCTACATTGAGCAGAACAACGTGACAAAGATTCTCGTCATGGCTGGCGCCGGCATAAGTGTCGCGGCGGGAATCCCTGACTTTCGTAGCCCCCACACAGGCATCTACGCAAACCTTGGGAAGTACAACCTCAACTCCCCGACAGATGCCTTTTCACTGACACTATTAAGAGAGCGTCCAGATGTCTTCTACAATATTGTGCGCGAGATGGACCTTTGGCCGGGCCATTTCTGGCCAACGCTTGTACACTATTTCATCAAGCTGTTAGCGGATGAGGGACGCCTGCTGCGATGCTGCACACAGAACATTGACGGCTTGGAACGGGCTTGCGGGCTGCCCAAGTCACTGCTGGTGGAGGCACATGGGTCCTTTTCAACTGCCTCCTGTATTGGATGTCGTTCTCCGTACGACATTGACTTAGTAAGCCATGAGTGCCGGCAGGGCAAAGTGCCCTACTGTGACAAATGTGGGGGTGTGGTGAAGCCGGACGTTGTCTTTTTTGGTGAAAGCCTACCCGATTCGTTTTTTGACCTTTTTGACGACTTGCCGAAGGTGGAGCTACTGCTTATCATGGGAACCTCACTTCAGGTTCACCCTTTTGCGGGCCTTGCGGTCGGTGTGCGCCCCGATGTGCCACGGGTGCTGTTCAACTTGGAGCGTGTTGGTGACATCATGTTTCGCTTTCCCACGGACGAGCCAAGTCTGCGGCCACTAAGCAGAAACCACAGCGGCAGCATTCACTCCAGCAGTAGTAGCGAGGGTTACGGTCAGTACGCGCAACACGCCGCAGATACCGAGGGGATTTGCCGCGATATATTCTTCCCCGGCGACTGCCAGCAGACAGTGCGGTGTCTGGCTGAGGCGATGGGACTTGGCGAACGGTTGGCAGCAGCTGTGAGTGAGGGGGAGAAGAAACGTGAGAGTTATGTTGCACCGTAAAACAAACACACACGCAACTACACGGATCAATCTAATAATAATTAAAAGAAGAGGAATGAACAACTGCAAGTAAGTGGCGCACACGATTACGCACCCGACTGGTGCGGATGGACGAATAACGATAAACAACACAAAATAAAAAAAAAACAGTGCAATAGTGTTGAGCGGGAGGCAGTTGTTAAATTTTTACATTTTATTTTGTATTTTTCTGTTGCCACTGCTGTTCTGCGGCGTGTGAATTACATGTTATTTCTATTTTTATCTTTCCTTTCGTTCTTATCGGTTAATTGTCGGTGTTGCTGTCTCTTTCCTCGCGCATTTTCCGCAATAACGTTAAACCTGCTGCGATTGCAGCTGCCCCCGCCACGCGACTCAGAAGGGGGGGGAGGGGCGCCTCTGTAACTCGTATGTGGTGCTGGGGACTTCACAAAGAGACCAGACCCTGAAAGATACTGTGTGACTCAACTTAAAAATAACAACAAAGGCCAAGAAAGAAACGGAAGAAAAAGAGGGGCAAGGAAAAACAAAATTCAGTGGGAGAAGGATAACTAAAGAAGGAAAGCAAAACGAATTATGAAAGAAAATAGGTCATATCCACGTCAAAAACCGAGTCTACATCGGCGACATCTTGTACGCGTTCTTCTTTTCTGTGTGGCGTTGTTTGTGTACTTGGAGTTGTTCCGGACTCATCGAGAGGGTGGCGCACCACCACCACCACCTATCGATGACTCTAACATGGGAGCAGTCGATCTTGCGAGGGGCACCGTGTCTCTTCCAAAGAGTGCCTTGTACGAAGAGGATAGTGCACTTTGGGGCTTTACAGGCGGTATCGAAAGTCTTCTGGAGGGCGTTGTTTCGCGGAAGTACTGGGGGCCTGCTATGACGACAGGTCATGATGGCTCACTAGACGAGTGGACAGTCACAAATATAAGCTGCACACGACTCACCTCTCTGGGAGTCACGGAGCATGAGATGAAACGTCGCTATCTGAGACACCGCAAGGTGAAGGATGTCACGGGGTGTGATGTCCTCTCCGTTCCATTCAACCCCCGTCGGGACCGACGCTGCATTAATTTCATGACCAACCCCTCCAACTGGGGGGAGTTGGTGCCGATTTCACAGTCCGTGGATCAGCGGACCATCAAGTTTGGGATTGTTTTTAATTCTATTCACGATGCAAGTGGTGAGGTGATCGAACAACCTTTGGAAACTATCGTAAAGGTACCACAGCGTCTTTTTCCCTTAGAGGCAGTGGGAGAGGTGGCGACATTTCACGCGGATCGCCTCTTACTGACGCATCGTGTACCCCCCACTGGATGGGCCTGCTTGCCAATTCGGATGCTTGAGACTTGCGTGTCAAGGTACAAACACCTTGTGGAGAGCAATGCGGAATACCTTCGAGCCTCCGGTGTCAAAACCTACGAAGAGTGGGTGAAGAAAGATCTTTTTGACTATGCGCGCCAGAACCACCATGTGGAACGTGCCAAAAGTGGTGATGAATGCATTGGCGTGTCTATTCAACTTAAAATTGCTGACGTGGGACATTTTTTGTCCAGCGTGATGCGCATTCCCTACACCTCTCACACTGACACGTGGCATGGTTTCTTTGACTTAAACAGACTCATTGGCGAAGACGTGATTGGCTTCATTCGGGAGAGGAACTACGCCGGGGTTCTTCATTTGGCTATCTTGAGTATGTTTGACTACTTTGTGGGAAACATGGATCGTTCCCCAAACAAGAATAACTTTGTGGTGGGCGCGACAAATGTTGGGTCCACTGTTAAGAATAACTTTATGCTTCACCCGAATCACCCCTCCTTTGTGTACCTTGACCATGGTATGACTTTTTACCCTCAGCGTCCACGGCGGAATCCACTCACAAGTTCCTATGCGGGCTTCATGAGGAATGAAACGAGTTCCTTTTGTCTCTTTAATGGACCACTACTGCGACGTATTCGCGAGTTAATCCAGTTTACTGGTGGTCCAGGGAATGAGACCGTGTTTGCCTGGAGGATGAGACGGCATCTGCCAGGGCATGTCTATCGCACTGTTGGTGCTGAAGGACTGCGTTGCTGCTCTAAGCGTGGCAGGGAGATGTTGTTGATGGCGGATCGCTGTTTAAGGAATGAGCACATCCGCCCCTACGTCCTTTTTCCGTGATACATTTGAGAAAAAGCGAAGGAAAAGGAGGGAAAACAACAACAACAACAACTGGACTTGCGTATTTAAAATATTATTATTTTGTTCTTTGTGTGTGTGTGTGTGTGTGTGCATGTGTGCGCGTGTCTTTTTTTTTACACACATACACACATATATAAATATATTAGGGGGGGATAAATTTTTAGAGTATTCGCGGGACGATCTTTTATGTTTCTGTTTGTTTTCTCCTACAATGTTGTCACTGAAGTACTACCGCTTGACTTCGCCCATCGCACTGTGGCCGTTGGCCGTGGGCGTGCGTCTGTGGCTTCGCGGGTGCTTTCAGCACGAGATTTCACAAGTATACGTCCGACTGGGTCGTGTGAAACGTTTCTTGTGGAATTACCTTGAGGACAGTTATTATGTTTTTTTTTGTTATTTTCAATTGCTTGGGCGCGCAGTTTGATTTCTCTCTTTTTTAGTGGTTGACAGATTGGGGGAACTTCTTTACATGCGCCTCCTACGAAAGGCAGTTCGACCCGACGGGGAGGTGGAGGTGAAAGTCACAGTTAATACAACGGAGGACTTGTGGCATTTGTACAACTTATTGCTTTGCGGCGATCACGTGCGCACGAAGACTCGGCGTAAAGTGACGAAGGAAACATCCATCGGCACAAAGGCAGCCGAGACGCGTGTCATTACACTGGAGCTTGAGGTGCGGCAGGTGGATTTCTCCCCTGAGGAACTCCGAGTGCAAGGCATCAACGTCTCGGAAAACGAGCACGTGAAACTTGGCGCACACCATACGCTGTCGATTATTACGTTCCCGCCGCAGGACATTACCATCGTCAAGAAGGAATGGAATGATATCACCGAGGCTAGACTGAAAGAGGCGTGCAGCAGCGAGGCTAGGTCTGACACCGTGGCCGTGATAATGGATAATGGGACGGCAAATCTACTGCTGGTGACGCCCTCGTTTATGTACCCCAAGGCGAAGGTGGAGGTGACGATCGCGAAGAAACACAAAAATGATGGCACAGCGCGGGATAAGAGCATTCAGCGTTTTTTTAAAAATGTACTGGACGCCATTTGTACGCATGTTGACTTTGAAAAGATAAAGGTACTTCTTGTATGTTCCCCTGCCCACATTCGGGAGGAGTTTTTGAAGTACATGGAATCCGCTACCGTGCACGCTGAGGCGGGGCCGCTGCGAACCGTTTATAAGAATTTGTCGAAGGTGGTGCTCGTGAAAGTTACAGATTGCACAAATGATGGACTTCGCAAGGCTTTTGCCGATTCGACTGTCGCAAGTGAAATGAGTTCTACACGCTCCGCGGAGGACATGAAGGTTTGGCAAAGCTTTCATAACACAATGAGCAGTGATCCTGATCGTTGTGTCTACACCCCACAAATGGTTTACCAGGCGGCGATGATGGGAGCAATAGGAAGACTCATGGTAAGCGACGATGTGTTTCGTTCTCGTAGTCCCGTTGAAAGACGTTTTTATTTGTCACTCGTTCAGTTTGTCAATAACAGTGGAGGAAAAGCGAGTGTTTTTTCTAGTAATCATATTACTGGTGAACAACTGACACAGTTGGGTTCTGTGGCCGCTATTCTTCTCTTTCCATGCCCAGAGCTGGACGAGATGGCGGTGGTCCAAGATTTTATTAATAGTGAAGAGGCCGCTGCATTCATTCGAGAGAATGCCCCTGCACGTGTGACGGTTTGAAGGGGCTTCTGAACGTAAATTACAGTGCACGTAACTTATGTTTGTCGTTTGCATTGCTCTCTTTTCTCTCTTGCATTCCTACCCCTTCCATTTTCTCCTCCACAGTGTGTCCTCTGCTCGTGTGTTATTTGGCTTTTTTTTTCTCTATTTGCGCTACTTGCTCACTTCCTGCTCGTGGAGTGAAGGATGCTCCGGGTGTCGCTATCCTGTCTGCTGACTGCACGTTCTGCAGCTCGTCTGTGTGTGCATCGGCGGCCATTGTCATCGGCAATTCGTGTGGTGCGTGGCGTCGATACTTCTACTGGGCACCACCAACTGGGGCGCACAGTTGGGGGTGCCGCAACTCCCATGTGGACGTCCCAGCGTCTTCTTTTAGTTGAGACGAGTGAGACGCCAAATCCCGATTGTTTGCGTTTTTACTCGATGGATTTGTCCTTCCTTCAACCCGGTTTCTCAATGGACTTTCCAAACGCCGGGCATGCGTACAAGTCGCCTCTGGCGGAGATATTGTTCAGCATCGATGGGGTAGAAGCTGTGTACCTCGCCGATGAATATGTCACAATACGGAAGGCTTCCCTCGTGGATTGGGAAGAGATTCTGCTGCCGATAAAGGAGAGTATCACCCAGTTTTCGGAGAGCAATGCGAAAATTCTCTCAGAAGACGGGGAAAATCTTATTGCTGGACACAATGACGACACAGAGCCAAGGGATGATGATGACGAAGTAATTCTAGCTGTCAAGGAGTTGCTTGCCACACGCATACGGCCTATGCTGCAGGCGGATGGTGGGAATGTGCGCTATGTGGACATGGATGATGGTACTGTTTTTGTGTTGCTGGAGGGCGCGTGTAAATCATGCCCGTCAGCAGGCGTGACGCTTAAAAAGCGGTATTGAGCGCATGCTTATGCACTGGATACCGGAGGTTGTGGAGGTGCAGGAATGCACCGAGGAGATGGCGAACGACATTTTGGCGGAGAAGACTCTACAAAAAAAGCTAAAGGAGGAGGGCCTCGCAATTAAGGCCAAGTGAGGGGCGAGGGATTAAAATGTACCGCTGAAGAGAAGGGGATACCATGGTGTATTGGTTTGTCTCTGCGTATGTGCGTATATGTGACAAGGATGAAAGAGAGAGAGAGAGAGAGCGAGAGCGTTTTAAGTTCTTGATTCTACAGCGTTTTTTTTTGTTTCTGGTAGGAGAATATGCGTTTTCCTTCCTTCTTTTTTTCGCTATCCCCTTTTTTTCTTTTGGGCCAAAGGAGGAATATGAAGAACGACTAGCTTGCAGCGGTAAATGGCTGCAGCTTGACGGTCCCTCATCCTTTTGTCTTTTCCGGTAACGAGGAAGAGGTTTTCTACGAGTTTTTTTTTTTTTCAGTCCATGTTTGTTTGTTTTTGTTTTTTGTTTTGCTTTTAAATATTGGTGGTAGCAAGTGAGTTTATTCTCTTCCCTATGGGGTGGCTACGAGACGCCGTGTTTCACCGTCTTGTGGTTCCGTGCCGGGAGCTTACCCTCAAAAGGCTGATGATTGCCCTCTCCGCGGGAACTATCGGAGGTGTTTTTCCTGTTCCCATGCTGACGAGCGTTGCCACCTTAATCATCTGTCGCGTGTTGCAGTGCAGCACACTGGAGGCGACACTGGCGACAAGCGTCAATCTGCTTCTTACTCCTCTCGAGTTGTTCCTTGTAGTACCATTTGCGTCCGTGACGGCGTCTGTTGTTGGAATCGACACAAACCAATTCACTGCGGCTGCTCTGTATCAGTCGACGGAGCTTGGATTTACACATTTTATGCGAAACTCTGCCACACTCCTCATTTACAGCTGTATCTGTTGGATGGGTTTTGGTTTTCCTCTTCTGTACATTATACACAGTTTACAAAGTCGTTGGGGTGATGCTAAAGACGCATAGTGACAGTACTCGTATTTATTTAGCACTCAATTTTCTTGGTTTTTAACGGCACGGCTGAAGGTGTCCCACGTCTTATTTCAGGAACTTGTCATGCTCCTTTTTGCTAGCACAAATGTTTTTTCTGCCTCACGCTCTATTCTGTTTTATTTAATTACATACACTAGCACGGCGTCGTCTGGATTCATTGCACAAACATGCCCGCGAAGACTATCCCTGCCCCGGAGTCTGCCATCAAGCGCGCTGCGTTCAAGCAGCAGCAGACGGAGAACTTCAAGAAGGCGATTGCTGCCAACAAGGCGGCAAAGGTCGCTCTGAAGAAGCTTGCGTACGCGCGTGGCCTCAAGTACTCCCGTGAGTACCGTTCCACCGAGAAGAAGCTGGTGCACCTTCGCCGCCTGGCGAAGAGCCGCGGAAACTACTACCTTGAGGCGAAGCCGAAGGTGGCTGTGGTCACTCGCATCCGCGGTATTGCGAAGGTCGCTCCGAAGCAGCGCAAGATTCTTCAGCTTCTGCGTCTGCGCCAGATCTTCAACACCGTTTTTGTGCGCCTGAACAAACCGATGGAAAACATGCTCCGTGCCATTGAGCCCTACATTGCGTACGGGTACCCTTCCCTGCGCACGGTCCGCGCGATGGTGTACAAGCGTGGCCACCTGAAGCTCAACGGTCAGCG